GCTTCAGAGAAGATTATATAACTATATATCGCAGAAATAGAGATCACATCAGAGGATTATATAACTATATATTACAGAAAAAGAGATCACCTCAGAGGAGATTATATAACTACATATCACACAAATAGAGGTCACTCAATAGGACATTATATAACTATATATCACACAGCTGGAGATCGCTTCAGAGAAGATTATATAACTATATATCGCAGAAATAGAGATCACATCAGAGGGTTATATAACTATATCACAAATAGAGGTCACCTCATAGGAGATTATATAACTATATATCACACAGCTGGAGATCGCTTCAGAGAAGATTATATAACTATATATCGCAGAAATAGAGATCACATCAGAGGATTATATAACTATATATTACAGAAAAAGAGATCACCTCAGAGGAGATTATATAACTACATATCACACAAATAGAGGTCACCCCATAGGAGATTATATAACTATATATCACACAGCTGGAGATTGCTTCAGAGAAGATTATATAACTATATATCGCAGAAATAGAGATCACATCAGGGGATTATATAACTATATATTACCGAAAAAGAGATCACCTCAGAGGAGATTATATAACTACATATCACACAAATAGAGGTCACCCCATAGGAGATTATATAACTATATATCACACAGCTGGAGATTGCTTCAGAGAAGATTATATAACTATATATTACCGAAAAAGAGATCACCTCAGAGGAGATTATATAACTACATATCACATAAATAGAGGTCACTTCAGAGGAGATTATATAACTGTATATCACAAATATAGGTCACCTCATAGGAGATTATATAACTATATATCACACAGCTGGAGAATGCTTCAGAGAAGATTATATAACTATATATCGCAGAAATAGAGATCACATCAGAGGATTATATAACTATATATTACAGAAATAGAGATCACATCAGAGGAGATTATATAACTACATATCACACAAATAGAGGTCACCCCATAGGACATTATATAACTATATATCACACAGCTGGAGATCGCTTCAGAGAAGATTATATAACTATATATCGCAGAAATAGAGATCACATCAGAGGATTATATAACTATATATTACAGAAAAAGAGATCACCTCAGAGGAGATTATATAACTACATATCACACAAATAGAGGTCACCTCATAGGAGATTATATAACTGTATATCACAAATATAGGTCACCTCATAGGAGATGATATAATTATATATCACACAGCTGGAGATCGCTTCAGAGAAGATTAGATAACTATATATCACTGCAGAGGCCGAGATAAGCTGCGTATCCGGGTAAAATACGCATAGAAAATTTCCAGTTACGCATTGAAAAATAATTGTTGCGTACCAATTACGCATTTAAAATGTTAGATACGCAAAAAGCTTAAAACAAATGCGTGCAGAATATATTTATAAAACTAGCTTGCATTATGAAAAAGACATCGATTGCTATCAAGTTGTACTGTTAGTATAGGACAAGTCTTGTACTGTCAGTATAAGATGAGTGATTTTTTATGAAATTATTTCCATTATATTTAAGTTGGTTTTGATTAGATATGACGTAAGGCAGAACATACCTGCTTAGTAAACTTACTCAATGACATAATACTTAGGTGAGTAAAATGACTGAAATACGCACATATTTGAAAGCAGTGGGTAACTGAAAATGAAATACCCTCTCAACATTCATAATACCTACTCCCAAAAAATACAGTGGTTAAAGTACCCACATGAGCTAAATCTTATCTGGAGCTCTGTATCACAGAAATAGAGGTCGCCTCAGAGGAGAATATATAACTACATATCACACAAGTGTTGTTGATGACTGCAAGAACGACACTGACTGTGGTTGTCCAATCAGAAGCTCGGAATGCATCATAAATCATCATAAAAGTAAACAGTAAAAAACCTAAGCGTCATGGTTGTACGTAACCGTTCGATCCCGCTTAGTAACCATTCTAATACCTGACCAAAGTGCATGTCCATATCTCCTGACTGCCGATTAATACGACACTAACTTGGCTCTGCGACGTCGTAACCGCACGCGCGACCCTGAACCGGGACACAAATCTGAAAGCTAAGTAAGTACCGGATACGTTTGTATACAGTGTTGCTAGTTTGTGTTTCCTGGTCAGTTTATCGCGTTAACGTCATTATGAGAGTGTAATATTTCTACCCTCAATTTCGCTGCCAATACAAACTCCAGCACTTTTAACTGATGACATTCGTGTTAAAGTTAATGAAATCTCTAACACAAGAATATTATTTTGACTTAGTTTTATGGACTTCCAATATGTGTGCTATTAGCCTTCTAGAATATGTGACTTCAGTCTTCCAGTATAAAAGACATTAGGCTTCTAGATTATGTGACTTCAGTATTCCAGTATGTGTGATATTAACTTTCTAGGATATGTGACTTCAATCGTCCAGTTTATGTGCCATTAGCCTTCTGGAATATGTGACTGTAGTCTTCTAGTATGTGGGACATAAGCCTTCTAGAATATGTGACTTCAGGCTTCCAGTATGTTTGATATTAGCCTTCTGGAATATGTTACTTCAGGCTTCCAGTATGTTTGATATTAACTTCTTTGAGTGACATTTCAGAAGTTGGGAAGTACAATATAGAACAAACTTCATGGATGATAATAAAAAGAAGTTGTCATCCATAAAGTTTGTTCTATATTGTTTGATATTAGCCTTTTCGAATATCTGACTTCAGTATTAAACTACGTATTATACATGTTAAGGCTGGTTAAATCGCCAAGTAATGCCAAGGGATCACATGACTCGCTGTGGGGGTGAGGTGCGGTTTATTCAGATAATTCCTTAGTCATACATCAAGCCCTGAAACACACATAACATTCTTAGAAACATTTACACATTACATAATATTTTACATAGGTATCACAATTAGTTTACCAAAATTAATTCTGTAGTCTAACAAGTACAAATCTAAATTATACCACATTATAAACTGTCAAGGGAAATAATAATCACATCAAACTGTATGCACAACGTTGGTTGTGCCACAAATGGAACTAATTCATTGCCAAATAACACATTTTCCCAAATAATGTTAAAAATAATACAATATCTACACATACATCTGACAGACAATAAAGTTCACAGTTAACATGACATACAACCAGATAACTATTTGGTAACCCTGAAAGGTTACCCGAAATGTGTACATAAATAAAAGGAAAAATATTGACATTTGAAAATACATCTTACCCATTTGTGGAATAAAACCTTACTGATAGACCATGCTGTGCTCTTATATGAGTTCATGTGTGACCTGCCAATTACAAATATCATTCATCATTGTGACAATACATTCACCATCACTGACGATTTCCTTTCACACAATACAAAGAAAAGCATTGTATGTATATACACAGGGAAAGCTGAGCACAATGGTTGCTCATACAAAAAAAATCATCAACATGACAATGCTTTCACCATTTTGTCTGCTCTCCACTCACGCGACACACAGAAAACCATTGCACTTAAATACATTTAGAAAACTGAGGAAAATGAGATATAAAAGAACAAATACACATAAGCCTTATTTAGTGTTAAATTATTTAACTGACCTGTTTGATGTTGTTTATCTACCAGTGGACCTTGTTGCCTTGTTGCCTGAGTGCTGTGCTGTGCTAAAGTGTTATTACCTGGGTGCTCAGATAGGTGCATGGGAATTATGGGAATTTGAAATTAGCCAATTAAGAGCTAGGAATTAGGGTCATGTGATAAACAATAATCCAGAATGAGACCCTACTCTAGATCCAGCATATTTTGTGAATCCTAAACATAATAAGAACAAATACTTGACAAATGCAACCAAATATCAATATGATTGACAAATGCTTAAAACCACAAACTTTAGAATACTACCACCAAACTTCAATATTTTTAGTGACCTTTTTATGACTTATATACTATTTTTATTCTTATTTTACTTGTAAACAATAAAACACTATAACACCATTTTATATTCAATAATTGTAAAATAGTTCTATACAAACAAACCGAACTGACTTTTAAAAAACATGAAAAATGTCACTGCTACACAAGCCTGCTCGGATATGTAACTTATGTCTTCTAGTCTGTGGCACGTTAGCCTTCTAGAATATGTGACGTCAGTCTTCCAGTATGTTTGATATGAGCGTTTTCGAATATCTGACTTCAGTATTAAACTACATATGATATTAGCCTTCTGGAATATGTGACTTCTGTCTTCTAGTATGTGGCACGTTAACCTTCTAGAATATGTGACTTCAGTCTTCCAGCATATGTGACATTAGCCTTCTATAATATGTGACTTCGGTCTTCCAGTATGTGTGATATTAGCCCACTTGTCTAATGGCAATACATAATTCACAGTGGGCTACACCACATATGTGAAAAGAGCTCTGATATTTTATCTTTCATTTAAATAGACTTTAACTAAAAGATCTACCTTTTAAAACAATAGACTTCTCCCCAACATCCGTACAATGGAATCACACTTCCACATTTGTTTACAAAATGTTTTGTATCTAACACGAATTCCTGAAGTGTTCGCATCTACAATCTGTAACATCGCTACAAATGTAGAGATATGTCGTTATTTATCCATTATTTCCGCTGCAGATTCCAGCGTTGGTAACTTTCACTCCCTAGCGTTAAAGGAATTATCTCGGAGGGTTTTCCGTGACAGCACAAAACTATATTTGTCCCTGGTATTCTTCCCGAAACTTTATCAGAATGTAAAGCTGTAACCGTTGCTTCGTGACGTCACAGTTCTCGCGCCGTCTTCAAACCAGTACCAATGAAACGGCCAAGAATACATCAACAAAATACTTGAAGGTGATACGAGCGTGGCACTATGATTTCCTTAATTAGGGGCACCCGCCATATTTATAGAACAGGATATCACCGGGTATAAAATCCAGGTTCGCAGGGTAGATGGGTAAGTTGGCTTCAAGTTCGACTTTGGTACAAGCGAGATGAACAGTATGTATGTGATGAGCTCCTTGGTCCAGGTGAGTGATTCTTTCATCATCGTGTTTAAGTCCATTTTGCACATTCGTTTAATCGTATATGTATCTAGACTGTACTGTAATTTAGTTGGTTTCGTCTTTGACGCATGAATTAATGACAATTACGTACATATCTTTATAATGCGCATAAACACAAACACAAAATTGTGTGGTCCAGATTTCTTAATTACAGGCCGCCAACTTAAAACGTGACGCGTGAGCAACAAACAAACAAAACATCTATTCTGCAATTCTCTCCAAAACATTTTAAACATTTCATGTCTGGCAGTTTGTTCACATTTCATACTTTCTCCTTTTTTTTGCTAACGTTCACTTTAACACAGCGATTTACGTGTATTTGAGTATGATATAGTTTCACTTAAATATACACCGCAGAATAGAAAGAAAGTGAAGATCCGGGATATAATTGGTCTTCAGCAACCCATGTGTGTCGTGAGAGGCGACTAACGGGATCGGATGACTTGCGAGCTGACTTGAAAGACATATGTCATCGTATCCCAATTGCGTTGATCGATGCTTATGATATTGATCACTTGGTTGTCTGGTCCAGATCAGACTATTTACAGACCGCCGCCATATAGCTGGAATATTGCTGAGTGTGGCGTTAAACAACAAACAAATAGCATTAGAACCAATGGTGAAGTCGTTATACAGAAAAAAGAATTAACGAAATACACAATGCCATTTTAGAAAGTGGTCAAATGTAACATATGTTATATTTGGGATTACACTTTCTCAGTAAAGTACAGATTCTAGTACTTTTGGGGGGGGGGGGGGGTTGAGTCCCATTCGGGACTGACTTTGTGTGCTGGCGATTAGGTGCCTGAAAGTGTAATCCCAAATATAACATATGTTAAAAAAAGAATCAAGCCAAAATCCACTTTCTGTCCTGTGCGTTGTCCCATGTGAGAAACCTATAATCCCTGATTTAGCTTCTTGGCCTGTCGCCACCATAGTCTTGATCTTGGCTGTTTCCATAGTGGTGAAACTGTCTGAGACCACCTTGTCTCAACTGACTTCCTCTGTCAGTTGTCAAGGTATACACTACTGGCGAGAGCGCCGCTAAACACAACTCACTCTCAATACGTTGTTTCTGGGTTTCAGTGTGGGTTGGTGTTCGGCGCCCTGTTTCACACGACTTCTGCTGTATCTGTGCGTGATCGGTGCGTGGACCCGCCTGACCTGGCAGCCAGACTGTCTGTCAATAACCCTCATCTCCCACCCAGTCTAGAAACAGCGTACCCCACACCCCGACCCAGCCTACCCCTGTCTACCGACTGCCCGTCACACGTCCCTACAACCGGACCTATCAGCGACCGGAGCAACTGCCCGTGGTTTTACGCACCTCAAACAGACACCTCCAGATTTCCCAGCATGCTGCTCCGGGCGGAGTTAAAATGTGGATATTTCTGCAGACAGCCGAAACGAAACGGCCGCCTGGTTGAGATGACGACAGGGAGATGTGTGCCTATATTCGACACGGTGAGGGTGTTGAGGCACGAGGGGTGTGTCTCCGGCGTCAAGCAGTACAACATGACGGAAGAGCAGGTGCCTATCGCGTACACGTGCGTGTTCCCCATCGTCAGGGGGAGCGGGACTCTACCACACAGTATCTATGGCTTCGCGGAGTAGCGTATTTCTTGTTATTGTCAGCACAATGCAACATTTGAGTATTTATATTGTTTGTTTTGTTTTCATGAATATATTGTCTGTTTTATACTACTTTTTATGTTTTTAAAAACGCAATGTTTTGCAATAAACAAGTTTTATAGACCTGTGATTTCAGTACCTTCCTGACTGTCTTAGAGAGGACAGTTAAGCATGATCCCTGAACGTCCCGCGAGAAGTGCACGTCTGGCATTAGATCCAAACACATACATTGCAAATTCACAGCTAAAGACATAGACTGTAGATCCCGAGCAGTGAGGTGGCCTAGTGGGTAGAACGTTAGCTAGTCAGTGTTTGCCCTAAACCCTGAGAAGCTGCAGGCCCTATGGACCCAGAACCACAAACAGTTGTGGGTCCTGATCAGAATGATAAAGCCCTATTGTATTTTAGCTACAATATAAGTAATTCCTAGCAAACAAACAAAATGTGAAAACTAACAAACTGAGTTAAAGAGTTTAATACAACTCTTGTGACTCTAGTTATCATTTACAACAAAATCAACATCTATGTCAAGATCCAAGTCTTCTGAAAGGTCTAAATCAGGCTGTTCAGACATATGGCCACAATGAAACATACACCTTTATGGATGACAACTTCTTGTCTATTGCATTAAGCGACATTTCGATGTAGATTCTTCCATAATGTTGTTTGTTTCATTTTTGACTCACCAACTTCTAGAATGCCGATAAAACAGTTAAGGATATGTCAGTTATAGGGGATGCAAAAGCTGTCGGCCATAAGGATCTGCAGAAAACAAAAGCTGTGAGTCCGAGTGGTTTTCAGACGGCTTCGGGCCTAAGGGCCGACGTTAATTTCGAACGCTGTGGCTCGTGGTTGTTCTGTTATCCTCCGCCTTGATATTGCTGGAATATTGTTTAAAACTGAACAAGACAATACTCATATAGACAGTAGAGCGGATCCGTGGCCCAGTGGATGGAGGGTCTGCCTGGAGGGCGGTCCGTTGAAACATGGTACTTGTTGTTACTTCCCCTGGCGCTCGGCAAAGAGGTAATGTTAGGAGTACTCCGCTTTGAGACTGTATGCACGCGCACGCACGCACGCGCAATGTGAAGCCGCATTTCACCAACTCAGACTCACGTGTAATTACTTGGTTCCACGTTCTGGTCTTCTGTAGTACGAGCTGACCTAGGATAGAGTACCAATCCACGCTGTTGTATATTTGCTGCCCTTCTTGTGTTTTCTGTGGAGAACCACGAAACAAGGGTTATAAATGTCTTCACTTATGACAACTCCCATGCACTGTGAAACTCTGATTGTTTGCCACTGATTTAACCAATCTTCCAGCAACATTAGGGCAGGAACGCCAAACTTGCGCGTCAAACTGCACAGCCTCGTTGGCTACAACTGATTAATTAGCATGGTGGCGGTTGCCCCACACGTACTCAGACTGATGTACAGTGATACATACCAAATACAATGTGTTATGTGGCAGTGTGTCGACATTGTATAAACAGTGTTGGATTGTATTACACTATTTCTGTGAAGATTCAGCAGTCGACAGTGGTCTGCTGGTTACTGTATTTAGAAGTTTAGACTGGTGTGGAAGTTTCTAGGCATACCGGAATATTTCAGAATAGTTTGACCGAGTTAGTAAACGTTCAGGAAACTGTTATTGATATGCATCTCACATCACATTACATCTCTTACCAGAAGACCAGTAGTTCTGTGAAGATCACCCTGGATACTCAGCCTGGACGTACTGTGGGAACTTGACCAATGTTGCAACCAGGGGATATCACCTCCACTGTTTTCATTGCTATAATGGCAGCTTTACATTAGTTATATTTAGGATTGTAAGTTATGATTGCGTTTGTATTCATCTTCGAAGGGGTGAGCAAACTGCACGTTAGTGCCTTCAGGCAGATGTGCCTTTCAGCCGTGTCTGTGGCTTGGCTTAGGGCGGCATGTCGACAACTGAAGTCGTATCTCGAAGTTTTCAGTGTCAGTTTCACTGTTATTTTCTCCCGTGAACTGCACTCTTTACCACACAGCCTAATTACGACTAAACGTGTGTCTAATAATGTATTTCCAACACATTTGTTCTTGCGACAGCCAGATCAACAAACCATGAATACGCTAGCAGCAATGATATAAAATTTTACCAACCAAAATCTCAAGCTGCTCCGAACAGTACAGCAGTGATAACGTCCCCTCTCGGTGGGTGTTGGGCTGTAAGATCCCACAGTTCAGGATTTGCAGACAAAACAAGCAAGTAGTTGATTTTCAAAATGTTTATTGGTCATAATGTGTACATCTACAACCACCCACAAATTGAAGTAGTATACAACAGCATTAACATGTGGTCAAACCTAACAACATCACAGGTCATCAGGCGACAAACCTCTTGTAACAAGCAAGCTGTGCTGGGTGAAGATACAAAGGACCCCGACAGGCATGTGACTGAGTGGTTGGTTAGGGCTGAACTTGCAACTTGCAAGAACTTGCTATGGTATGTAGGCCGACATAAATTTAAAGATACAGGCCAAAAGTTAACCTTACATTATTGTCTATTCAATCCTTCATTTTAGGTTTACGGTTTACAAAACATGATGAAGATTAATCAGGTACTTCGAGTGAAATATTTGTCTCCAATGATAAGCAAGACTTTCAGTAACCCCTCTGTCGTGCCAAGGTATATCCCTGGGGACATACTCAGTATACGTGGGCCTCACGGTAAATCTGTATTCCACACCGGATGGCCCTTGCCACAACATTGTTCCTTCAACCTGACCTTCACCCTTCCACAGTATGACCTCGGAGCCCATAACGTCCGTCAGTTGGGGCAGCAAGACTTGTGAATAACAGTATAACAAGCAAACACTAGCACAGTCACAAGCAGTGAGATCTGTAACACACGGAGATAATAGTTGTGTGCAACTAAGAAGCAAGCAGAAAAATCTGTGTGCCACTGGCTACATCCAGGTCTATGCCTGTGTCTAAACAAAGCCCGGAACACGTAGGACCACTACTGTTTGGCATCAGGTACATCTACCTGGGACGTTGTGCAGGTCATCATGGAAGCTTCCTGGTCATCATAAGTGCAAGTAACAGAATGATTCTTTTATACTGTTGCTAGGCAGCTGATGAGAAGCTAATGTATATATGCGATTTACGGTGAAAGTGAGATCTTGATATTTTGGAGAGGGAACTCTCTGTTCCTGTAGTTTTAAAACAATGCTCGGGATGCCTGGTTGATATACTGCGGCTGGTGAAGTCTTTGGTTTAATTCTCCGGTATATGATGTATATGACGTTTAATGGGTTCTCATAATGGACTCACAGGAAGACGTGCCATGTGGCTTATTTCACTTGGACTATAAAGCACAGACTAGATGATTCTGATAAAGAATTCTACCAATAAAAACAAAGAAGAGATCTATGAATAATTACTCACACAGCTTCCTTCCTATAGCAATAATGTCCTTAGAAGATGCACATGCTTAAAACGTAATACCATGACATTTATCAATAAACTAATATCAAATACGACTAGACATAACAAGCAAAACTTTGCTCAGTCCACGATTGAAGATACCTCTTTGAACTTCGACTAAGGATCAGTCTTTCTTTGATGGACATACTGTCCTAACTGTATCCTTTACCTCTACTGACATCACAGTACATCAAGTCAAAAGGAAACAAGCTACGCTAACTTGAACCTGTTAAAGTCAACCGTCTGGTTTATTGCATGTTGACGACCATCAACTGCTGCTTCAATAGGCTTATGATAATGAACCTATTGCCAGAACTGACCACACCCAAAACAATTAGGTGAGAAATAGTCATCCGCATTTACAGGAATTTATCTGTCTCCTTACAACCATCAGGACAATAGGTCCCCCTGGAACATCAAGGACAGTAGGTGCCCACTGGAACATCCAGGACAACAGGTGCCCACTGGAACATCCAGGACAACAGGTGCCCACTGGAATATCCAGAACAACATTTGTTTTTTTGGGTAGTTTAGTTTCACACTGCACTCAGCAATATTCCAGCTTTATGGCGGCAGTCTGTAAATAATCGAGTCTGGACCATACAATCCAGTGATCAACAGCATGAGCATCGATCAACGCAATTGGGATATGATGACGTGTCAACCAAGTCAGAGAGCCTGACCACTAGATCCCGTTATTCGCCTCTTATGACAAGCATGGATTGAAGGCCAATTCTAACCTGGATCTTCATAGTTTCAGGAAAAACAGCTGGCCATTCCAGGATGATGGGTGTCCCTGGAGTGTTTTTGTACAAGGACAGGTGATGAAGCAAACAGGTAACATGATGCAAAAAAACAAAACAAAAAAAACTTCCCCGAGATATCTGGATTTCAGCTTGTAAGGCTTTTCACATTTCAAAATTGGCCAAATAATAGGCATTACATACATATCAGCTCCTAGCTCAAATTATCTTATCAACCAAAGCCCAGTGGTAACGTTTGTAATGGAGCAGAACTATATGTATATATCTCCCCCTAAACTGCAAGATCTGATGTGGACAGGAGCTTGATACCTGATCTATGTCTATCACATGTAATATGCTAAGACCACTCACCAACTGAAGTGTTCAGATTCACGGATATCAGAAACTTCAGTGTCTTTGAATTATTGATTGATATCCTGTAGAATATTTCACGAACTGAGAATAGTATAAACCCCTCAAAACACTGAATGTGGTGATGTAATGATCAGACGCAACACAGTGTGAAACCAGGTTGATTATGAGTTTGCTAGTCACTGATCTAGTCATGATATAAAAAAGCTAAAATATATTGCAAATGAATGGTCTTGATATGAATAATAAGAGTGAATAAAATCATCCAGAAAATTATTAGTCACCAAAAATATTCGGCATGTGTGCAAAATTAAAACATTGCGTGTAAAAACTGCACCAAAGTTCACAACATTGAGCAAAAAATCCACTGAATGAGAGCAAACAATTTTCAGTTACCGTGGTAACCAGACCCCAACTCTCTGTCTGTAATGTTCACATTGTACTGTAAAGTAACGTCCTACTGTACACACTTGAAACTATCACACTAATGTGCAATGAATGATTGACTAGAGTAAATATTACAAATATCAAGGAATAAATAGGATTTACTGTATGGAGAAAAATGACAAATATATAATACTTCCGTATGGACTATACACAACTTTCTACATTAGCAAACCAGTGAAAAACATGAAGATTTGTCCCTAAAAATAGAAACGTATATCATGTATTAAATTTGCACACCAGCAGACCAAATAGCTGAAACATACAAAGGCCGAGTACAAAGCTACTTGATGCAGTATCTTTAGGGACAAATCTGAGTTTTCCACCCGGTATTCCTGTACACCAACATCTTCATCCCGACTCCCAACCTGGACCAGTTCAACAGTTGTCCACCTTCATATAGTCAGTGTATTATTCTCTTCCAACAAGTTCAAACTTCTACTCCTATTTATAGAGTTGGTCGGTTAAATTAAAGGATATACTAACATCAGCTAAGTTGACATCTAACAAAGTCAGCATCACACTGTCTCTGTATATATATGTCTAAATGACTGGTCAGAGTATTTAACTATTTACTTATTTTCACATAAATATCTTGGACTGTCTGTCCGTTAATCTACATACAATAAAATTGTGTTTTTTTAGATCGATTATGTGTAAACACTGAAAGTTAATAATATCCTATTTACACAAGAAAAATTTAAGCTATCACTAAACAAATTGTTCGCTTCATGTCAGTTTGCTGTGTGTTCGTGTTGCTGACGTGTCAGTAGAACCGTGTCAGTAGAACCGTCAGTTTCCCAGTAATCAGGTTTGGGGGGAATTCACTTCCTGCAGAAATATAGTCAGCAAGTTTGATTATTTTCACTCATTTGTACTTCAGCCTTTCCATCAAGCCCACGACTGTCTGTAGACTCATCTTGTGGTACTGTGGTACAAACAACATAAAAATGGTACAACACAAGGAGATAACTCCTGTACATAGCATTACATGGTACAGCTGTATGTAGAGTCAAGAATGTCACAAATGCAATGTTTCCGATGTGGATGACAGCAGCTGAGTACAACAGTCTTCACATATATTGTTCAGCTTTTAAAATATTTGCACCATTGTAGATCTCACAAAACACTGCCAGCTTGTTTGTAGAAGACCAGCTGTAACACAGGTCCATGGACCTGTTCCACAGCACAACTCCTTTACATGAACAGTGACTCAGAACATATTGACACAACGTTCAGAGGAAGGAACATCCATGTCCTCATGACACAACGTTCAATGGGAGGACACCCATAACGTCACCAAAACAATGCAGGTACAATAATTCACATTATCTTCATATCATAAATGAAATATCAATATTTTTTCTTACCCCATTAACAAAAACTACCCCCGCCCAAAGTTTGTCAATGACACAATGCTCATATTGTCTGCAACACAATGCACTATGGTCTTGTCACACAGTGCTCTATTGTCTGCAACACAATGCACTATGCTCTTGTCACACAATGCTCTATTGTCTGCAACACAATGCACTATGCTCTTGTCACACAAGGCTCTAGTGTCTGCAACACAATGCTCTACTTGAATGACATTGCAAGTCCACTGTTGCTGAGTCTGGTAGCTGAACAAGGAGTGTTCCTGAGAGGAAACTGGGCTATTCATCCCTGCTCCATCCCCAAACCAAAAAGTCGGTTTTCTTGCTTCAATGTGAGGCACGGAACCGTCGTGCCTGGGTTTGGAGGACGTATCAGTTGTTGGTGAGCCAGAATCTGGTGAATGTGATGAAGTTGTCTGTGTTGCTTCGGATGTTGAGATTTCAAACCGAGATTCTCTGGAGCATGCACAGTGATGATGATCCAAAATAAATATAAATACAAAAGTCCATGATACACAGCATCAGCTCTGACAGAATGTTGGTATGACGATGATGTATCAATTAAGCATCCTCCACGACCAATACTTGCAGCAAAGGATGATGAGATGGTGTATATTATGACGAGTCTGAGGTGGTGTAATACCTGGGATATTATCAATGCTTATAGGCATACATAAGAATAATATGTATATCTTACAAGGAAACCAGGAAATACAATGTCCATAATGATAACATATTTACGTAGGACATTTTGATTTGAAAATAGGCATTTTCTTCCATCTTTAAAATTAGTCTATGAGTTATATAAAGCACCCATTTGATTTCCAAATAAATTTGAACTTCACTTATAATATGCCATTTATAAATCAAGATGGAATCCAAATGGACCATGAAAGTCAGTACTGAGATCAGTTAAGATTTACCATGTTCACCATGCAATACGACCCTGATCTGTCAGTGCCACCTGGGATGCTGGAAGGACTTCCAGCAGAGTAAGACATTCCTTATATAGACATGTACTGCTGGAGACAGGGGTGCATGGTCAACCGTTTGTGTTATTCCTGTTTTCCACAGTCAGGAAACATGGCGTATACTGATGCAGCAACATGCTAAAAGTCAACTGTAAGGATGCCTGTTAGTCACATCATAATTCTGCTTTTATATTTGAGGTCGCAACTTCAAGCTGAATCTTAAAAACTCATTTTTCAATAATGAAAATACACCTGATGAAAGTTGATGAATATGAAACTGTAATTTAAATCTTGACACCAGTCACAGACATGTGTCATAACAAATGGTATAATATCATGCTGATTTTAACTATAGACCACAAGATCCCAATAAATGATGACAAACTTCACATCAACTAATGACACTGATGACAAGTTCAAAGGTCTTTCCACACTACTGATGACATAGACCACGATATAGGGAAGTAAATCCTATAACTCCCTACTGAAGACATCTGGCTGACCACATGTTGCTGAACATCCCTGGACTGCCGTAGTGATGAAGTACTTCATCTGACCACACTATGGACTTAGAGTCCGCTGCACAGTAATGATGTCATAACTTCTTCCCTGTGAAGAAGGAGCCAGCAGAAGTGGATTTCTTCATATGCTCTTCTTCCTCCAGCTCATCATCTCCCTCTTTCTCGGCTTCCTTCTCATCCTGCTTCTGTTTCACTTTCTCATTCTCGTAGTGGAGGAGATGCTCCATGTCCGTCTGCAACATCAACACCATTTACTTAATACCATCAGATTATCTCAACATCAACACTACTTACTTAATACCATCAGATTATCTCAACATCAACACTACTTACTTAATACCATCAGATTATCTCAACATCAACACTACTTACTTAATACCATCAGATCATCTCAACATCAACACTACTTACTTAATACCATCAGATTATCTCAACATCAACACTACTTACTTAATACCATCAGATTATCTCAACATCAACACTACTTACTTAATACCATCAGATTATCTCAACATCAACACTACTTACTTAATACCATCAGATTATCTCAACATCAACACTACTTACTTAATACCATCAGATTATCTCAACATCAACACCATGTACTTAATACCATCAGATTATCTCAACATCAACACCATTTACTTAACACCATCCGATTATCTCAACATCTACACCATTTACTTAACACCATCAGATTATCTCCATGTGGATGGTCTGAACTGTCTTTCATTAAAGTACAGAAGGTATATAATCTGGCATATCGGAAGCTGGTGAGGAACAGGAAAGTGAAGACACTCTGTGGATGACATTATATTATGATGTTTTGGTATAGATTATTATACTGAACAGAAGAATGTAATTTTCTAAAATTATTATTTCTTCTATCAATCAACAATAGAAGGCATAAAGTTGGAAAGGGAGTCAGAAGTTATTCCAGTTCATGTTTCGCCTTCAGTTCTTAACTGCTGTTTTGAACAGGTGTAGATGGCTGCTGCCCATGATCTGACAGAGGACACATCCGGGGACCACAGGGTCACTATGCTGCATATGTTAGTGTTAAACCTGTCTCCCGTAGATGGCTGCTGCCCATGATCTGACAGAGGACACATCTGGGGACCACAGGGTCACTATGCTGCATATGTTAGTGTTAAACCTGTCTCCCGTAGATGGCTGCTGCCCATGATCTGACAGAGGACACATCTGGGGACCACAGGGTCACTATGCTGCATATGTTAGTGTTAAACCTGTCTCCCGTAGATGGCTGCTGCCCATGATCTGACAGAGGACACACCTGGGGACCACAGGGTCACTATGCTGCATATGTTAGTGTTAAACCTGTCTCCCGTAGATGGCTGCTGCCCATGATCTGACAGAGGACACACCTGGGGACCACAGGGTCACTATGCTGCATATGTTAGTGTTAAACCTGTCTCCCGTAGATGGCTGCTGCCCATGATCTGACAGAGGACACATTCCGGGGACCACAGGGTCACTATGCTGCATATGTTAGTGTTAAACCTGTCTCCCGTAGATGGCAGCTGCCCATGATCTGACAGAGGACACATCCGGGGACCACAGGGTCACTATGCTGCATATGTTAGTGTTAAACCTGTCTCCCATAGATGGCTGCTGCCCATGATCTGACAGAGGACACATCCGGGGACCACAGGGTCACTATGCTGCATATGTTAGTGTTAAACCTGTCTCCCATAGATGGCTGCTGCCCATGATCTGACATAGGACACATCCGGGGACCACAGGGTCACTATGCTGCATATGTTAGTGTTAAACCTGTCTTCCTTAGATGGCTGCTGCCCATGATCTGACAGAGGACACACCTGGGGACCACAGGGTCACTATGCTGCATATGTTAGTGTTAAACCTGTCTCCCAGTAGATGGCTGCTGCCCATGATCTGACAGAGGGTCACATCCGGGGTGTTACCACAGGGTCACTATGCTGCATATGTTAGTGTTAAACCTGTCTCCCATAGATGGCTGCTGCCCATGATCTGACAGAGGACACATCCGGGGACCACAGGGTCACTATGCTGCATATGTTAGTGTTAAACCTGTCTCCCATAGATGGCTGCTGCCCATGATCTGACAGAGGACACATCCGGGGACCACAGGGTCACTATGCTGCATATGTTAGTGTTAAACCTGTCTCCCGTAGATGGCTGCTGCCCATGATCTGACAGAGGACACATCCGGGGACCACAGGGTCACTATGCTGCATATGTTAGTGTTAAACCTGTCTCCCATAGATGGCTGCTGCCCATGATCTGACATAGGACACATCCGGGGACCACAGGGTCACTATGCTGCATATGTTAGTGTTAAACCTGTCTCCCATAGATGGCTGCTGCCCATGATCTGACATAGGACACATCCGGGGACCACAGGGTCACTATGCTGCATATGTTAGTGCTAAACCTGTCTCCCGTAGATGGCTGCTGCCCATGATCTGACAGAGGACACATTCCGGGGACCACAGGGTCACTATGCTGCATATGTTAGTGTTAAACCTGTCTCATATTTCAATCATTTCTGCCTTCCATCCAATCCATTAAATCTCCCTTTCCAACTGCCTGTGGGGACCAGGCCAAGCCTGGGGTCACTGCTCCTCACAGGAAATACCAAACACAAGACTAGACTATAATGTTTTTCACTTTTCGTCTGCAACAAAGGTTAACATGAAATCATAAGACAAACACAAGAAGAAGGCCTTTAGATGGAAGACATTATAAAAGCAAAATATGAAATTATAATCAAAACTCAAAAGGGAAAATAATGCAGTATTTCAGTTATTATATAAATATTTGACTAAATCAAACGATAGTACAAATTATATACTTTAAGAAAAAGGAAACCAAATCACTAGACAAGATAGTTATAAAAAGAAAAAAAATGTTTCATAATTTTCAGTCCACAATCCAATATTATATATGTTTATATGTGGACATTATATCATAATCAGTCCATGAATGAAACATGTTCAAGCAGTGACAATCACCCACAACCAAACCCCACTGCAGGCCCACGTCCACTCACAAGGACAGCCCAGGACAGTGGGGACAAAGTGATCTCTGCACGGTAGTGGGAATAACTGCCTCTTTCTAACATAGAATTACTGCAGTCACTGTTAGGCATATTCCAGCATTATCATGATGGGGACACCTGAAATAGGATTCTCACGAGGTGCCCATATAAGGAACCAAACCAGGGGTGACAGACAGCGCAAAGATCACTTTGTGAAGGCAAGTTTAGATTTGTTACTAGTTGCGGGGATAGTAAAGATCAGATGAGGTGTATTAGATAGTGGGGTGGGGTGGGGATGTATGGATTGAGGGCACTGCATGGGATGTACTAGATGGTGGGGTGGGGTGGGGTGGGGTGGTGATGTATGGATTGAGGGGCACGGCATGTGATGTACTGGATGGAGGGTGGGGTGGTGATGTATAGATTGAGGGGCACACGGCATTTGATGTACTAGATGGTGGGTGGGGTGGGGATGTATGGATTGAGGGCACAGCATGTGATGTACTAGATGGTGGGGTGGGGTGGGGTGGTGATGTATGGATTGAGGGGCATGGCATGTGATGCACTAGATGGTGGGGTGGTGATGTATGGATTGAGGGGCACAGCATGTGATGTACTAGATGGAGGGGTGGGAGGGGGTGGTGATGTATGGATTGAGGGGCATGGCATGTGATGTACTAGATGGTGGGGTGGTGATGTATGGATTGAGGGGCATGGCATGTGATGTACTAGATGGCGGGGTGGGGATGTATGGTTTGAGGGCACAGCATGTGATGTACTAGATGGTGGGGTGGGGATGTATGGTTTGAGGGCACAGCATGTGATGTACTAGATGGTGGGGTGGTGATGTATGGATTGAGGGCACAGCATGTGATGTACTAGATGGTGGGTGGGGTGGGGATGTATGGATTGAGGGCACAGCATGTGATGTACTAGATGGTGGGGTGGGGTGGTGGTGATGTATAAATTGCAGGGGGCACGGCATGTGATGTACTAGATGGTGGGGTGGTGGGTGGGGATGTATGGATTGAGGGGCACATGTGATGCACTAGATGGTGGGGTGGTGATGTATGGATTGAGGGGCATGGCATGTGATGTACCGGATGGTGGGGTGGGGTGGTGATGTATGGATTGAGGGGCATGACATGTGATGTACTAGATGGTGGGGTGGGGTGGGTGATGTATGGATTGAGGGGCACCGCATGTGATGCACTAGATGGTGGGGTGGTGATGTATGGATTGAGGGGCATGGCATGTGATGTACCGGATGGTGGGGTGGGGTGGTGATGTATGGATTGAGGGGCATGACATGTGATGTACTAGATGGTGGGGTGGGGTGGTGATGTATGGATTGAGGGGCACAGCATGTGATGTACTAAATGATGGGGTTGGGTGGGGATGTATGGATTGAGGGGCACAGCATGTGATGTACTAGATGGTGGGGTGGGGATGTATGGATTGAGGGGCATGGCATTTGATGTACTAGATGGTGGGGTGGGGTGGTGATGTATGGATTGAGGGGCACAGCATGTGACGCACTAGATGGTGGGGTGGGGTGGTGATGTATGGATTGAGGGGCACAGCATGTGATGTACTAGATGGTGGGATGGGGTGGTGATGTATGGATTGAGGGGCACAGCATGTGATGTACTAGATGGTGGGGTGGTGATGAATGGATTGAGTTGCATGGCATGTGACGCACTAGATGGTGGGGTGGGGTGGTGATGTATGGATTGAGGGGCACAGCATGTGATGTACTAGATGGTGGGATGGGGTGGTAATGTATGGATTGAGGGGCACAGCATGTGATGTACTAGATGGTTGGGTGGTGATGTATGGATTGAGGGGCATGGCATGTGACGCACTAGATGGTGGGGTGGGGTGGTGATGTATGGATTCAGGGGCACAGCATGTGATGTACTGGATGGTGGGATTGGGTGGGTTGTATGGATTGAGGGGCATGACATGTGATGTACTGGATGGTGTGGCGGGGTGGTGATGTATGGATTGAGGGGCATGACATGTGATGTACTGGATGGTGTGGGGGGTGGTGATGTATGGATTGAGGGGCATGACATGTGATGTACTGGATGGTGTGGCGGGGTGGTGATCTATGGATTGAGGGGCATGACATGTGATGTACCAATGAGTGTGGATGAGGCTGGGCATTGCATGCAATGAGAAGCAACCAAGTATGTTCTCTCAAATAGGGACGTTAAAATCTCTCTTAGGATGTTAACAATAGTAGATGTTAATGACGTCATATTCCAAAGGATCCCAAAATATGAAGACTGATTTCTACTTACTGAGTTAGAAGGCATCTTCCACATTATCTATTTATGAAATGTTAGAAAGCTTGTGTTAAATAGTCTTTCACATTATTGACTCGTGAAATGTTGGAAAGCTTGTGTTAAATAGTCTTTCACACTATAGATTGATGAAATGTTAGAAAGCTGGTGTTAATAGTTATCATCAGATAAACTCATATAACAGGCTATTTGTCCTGAAGGCTTTCAGCAAACAAAGCAAGTGTAAGATACTGCCATACAAACACACTGGGGGATATCGCTTAACACAGGATCAGCAGAACTGCTGGGGTGACCTGTATACAACTGCTGGGACGCAACTACTACCCATGCTGATATTGGTTAATCTGAACAAGTTTACTGGGATAAGATTGTCCCAATTTACAGGACTTCACAATACAAAGATTCCAAATGTAAATAACTACATTGAATTTGGATGGGTTTTCTATCAGATATTCAAGTTGAAAAAATGAAGAACTCCATTCTTGAAGATAGCTAATAGATGGCTGGTTCTAGACAACACAACTGAATGACGTCTCTCATGTTGCAGTGTGTTTGTATGGCGGGAGGAAGTGTTAGTACGTGCGCACCTGCCACTGATCAAGCTCCTGTGAGAGAGTCACCTTCTGCTTGATCGCGCCCACTAGCTGCTGGTTGAGAGTCATCAGATCCATCTTGGACTTGGCCAGTTCCACTTCCAGCTGATGTCCTCTACAACAGTCATACACCTGTCAGTGAGTCAGTTGGACACAAGGGAGTCAGTCATACACCCTTCAGTGTGTCAGTCATACACCCTTAAGTGTGTCAGTTGGACACAAGGAAATCAGTCATACACCCTTCAGTGTGTCAGTCATACACCCTTAAGTGTGTCAGTTGGACACCAGGAAATCAGTCATACACCCTTCAGTGTGTCAGTCATACACCCTTAAGTGTGTCAGTTGGACACCAGGAAATCAGTCATACACCCTTCAGTGTGTCAGTCATACACTCATCAGTGTGTCAGTCATACACCCTTCAGTGTGTCAGTTGGACACCAGGAAACCAGTCATACACCCATCAGTGTGTCAGTCATACACCCTTCAGTGTGTCAGTTGGACACCAGGAAACCAGTCATACACCCATCAATGTGTCAGTCATACACCCTTCAGTGTGTCAGTCATTCACCAATCAGTGTGTCGGTCATACACCAATCAGTGTGTCAGTCATACACCCATCAGTGTGTCAGTCATACATCCTTCAGTGTGTCAGTCATACATCTGTCAGTGTGTCAGTTGGACACAAGGAAGTCAGTCATACATCCTTCAGTGTGTCAGTCATACACCCATCAGTGTGTCAGTCATACACCCATCAGTGTGTCAGTCATACATCCTTCAGTGTGTCAGTCATACACCTGTCAGTGTGTCAGTTGGACACAAGGAAGTCAGTCATACACCCTTCAGTGTGTCAATCATACACCCATCAGTGTGTTAGTCACACAGCCTTCAGTGTGTCAGTTGGACACCAGTCATACACCCGTCAGTGTCAGTCATACACCCTTTAGTGTGTCAGGTGAATACCAGGAAGTCAGTCATACACCTTTCAGTGAGTAAGTTGGACACCAGGAAGTCAGTCATACACCTGTCAGTGAGTCAGATGGACACCAGGAAGTCAGTCATACACCTGTCAGTGTGTCAGTTAGACACAAGAGTGTCAGCAAGACACCAGGGAGTCAGTCATACACCAGTGTGTCAACCATGCTCCAGGCAGAGTCATACACCCTTTAGTGTGTCAGTTGGAGACCAGGAAGTCAGTCATACACCTTTCAGTGAGTAAGTTGGACACCAGGAAGTCAGTCATACACATGTCAGTGTAAATTGGCCACAAGTATGAGTGTCAGCAAGACACCAGGAAGTCAGTCATACACCTGTCAGTGAATCAGTTGGACCCTTTAGTGTGTCAGTTTGAGACCAGGAAGTCAGTCATACCCCTTTCAGTGAGTCAGTTGGACACAAGTATGAGTGTCAGCAAAACACCAGGGAGTCAGTCATACACCTGTCAGTGAATCAGTTGGACCCTTTAGTGTGTCAGTTTGAGACCAGGAAGTCAGTCATACACCTTTCAGTGAGTCAGTTGGACACAAGTATGAGTGTCAGCAAAACACCAGGGAGTCAGTCATACATCATTCAATGAGTGAGTGAGTGAGTTATTATTTAACTTCACATCGGCAATATTTCAGGTGAGGTGAGGCAAATTGGGTTTAACGTCGTGTTTGAGAATATTTCGCTCATATGATGACGTGCATGCGTGTGTATGTGTATGTGTATGTGCGGCTGCTTGTACTAGCCCAGACTGAAGCTGGTTTTATAGTGCTAGCCCACTGAGATACCACGCCACAGTGAAGCATGAATACCCCACTCAGACACATTATACTGACTTCGAGCCGACCAGTCCTTGTTGTACCCATTAATGCCGAGCGCCGGGCAGGGACCAACAAGTACCATATTTTAAAGTTTTTGGGTTTGACGCGGTCGGGGATCGAACCCGCTCTCCGGGCGGACGCAATATTTCAGCCATATCATGACGAGTCATTCAATGAGTCAGTTGGACACCAGGGAGTCAGTCATACACCTGTCAGTGAGTCAGATGGACACCAGGAAGTCAGTCATACACCTGTCAGTGTGTCAGTTAGACACAAGAGTGTCAGCAAGACACCAGGGAGTCAGTCATACACCAGTGTGTCAACCATGCTCCAGGCAGAGTCAGTTGGACTCCTGCAAGTGATTTGTGAGAATAAAAACGAATCTGTAAAGTTGTTAACAAGTTGTGAAGTCTGAAACATATCACATCCAGCATCCACATATTTCAATTATTTGGAAGTTTACTTTACGACACTAGAATACCCCACGGAACATAAACATGGAACAAGAGGGCAGCTATCAGAAGTTATCAATCACAACAGAGTGAGGAATTGAGTGCCCATACTTCTCCATGGCGAGGTCACGGTCCTTCCTGGCCTGCTCCAAGATGTTGTCCTTGGTCAGGTCTCCCATCATGGAGTCCTGCAGCTGGTCCCGCTCACGCTGCAGCTGTACCAGCCGGTCCTGCTGCTCCTGCAGCTGCATTGTAATTCAGCTGGTTAGTTGCCAGGACAACATGTACATATGTAACAACAATTATCAAATGCATTAATGACACGAACAACCCAATGAAATCCAATTTCAACATTCAGAATCCTGTGCGTGTCTTCCACATCAATCCACCAATAGTATATTATTTTCATCTTATTGTATCGCTACATTGTCTAACATGATCCAAAATGTCCACAGGCTGACGGCACAGTGGCATCCTGAACATTCTGCCCTACACACCGAGCTGTAGACTCACAGCAAGTTCTCTGTGGCCACTCTAGGCTGTAGACTCACAGCAAGTTCTCTGTGGCCACTCTAGGCTGTAGACTCACAGCAAGTTCTCTGTGGCCACTCTAGGCTGTAGATTCACAGCAAGTTCTCTGTGGCCACTCTAGGCTGTAGACTCACAGCAAGTTCTCTGTGGCCACTCTAGGCTGTAGACTCACAGCAAGTTCTCTGTGGCCACTCTAGGCTGTAGATTCACAGCAAGTTCTCTGTGGCAACTCTAGGCTGTAGATTCACAGCAAGTTCTCTGTGGCCACTCTAGGCTGTAGATTCACAGCAAGTTCTCTGTGGCCACTCTAGGCTGTAGACTCACAGCAAGTTCTCTGTGGCCACTCTAGGCTGTAGACTCACAGCAAGTTCTCTGTGGCCTCTCTAGGCTGTAGATTCACAGCAAGTTCTCTGTGGCCACTCTAGGCTGTAGACTCACAGCAAGTTCTCTGTGGCCACTCTAGGCTGTAGACTCACAGCAAGTTCTCTGTGGCCTCTCTAGGCTGTAGACTCACAGCAAGTTCTCTGTGGCCACTCTAGGCTGTAGATTCACAGCAAGTTCTCTGTGGCCACTCTAGGCTGTAGATTCACAGCAAGTTTGCTGTGGCTACTCCGGCCTGTTGACTCACAGAAACTTCGCTGTGGCTACTCGTGCAGGTACATACCCTGGAGACTCACAGCAAGTTCACTGTGGATGCTTGTGCAGGTACACACCCTGGAGACTCACAGCTGTGGCTACTCTGGGCTGTAGACTCACAGCAAATTCGCTGTGGCTACTCTGGGCTGTAGACTGACAATAAGTTCGCTGTGGCTACTCTGGGCTGTAGACTCACAGCAAATTCGCTGTGGCTACTCTGGGCTGTAGACTCACAGCAAATTCGCTGTGGCTACTCTTGGCAGTAGACTCACAGCAAGTTCGCTGTGGCTACTCTGGGCTGTAGACTCACAGCAAATTCGCTGTGGCTACTCTGGGCTGTAGACTGACAATAAGTTCGCTGTGGCTACTCTGGGCTGTAGACTCACAGCAAATTCGCTGTGGCTACTCTGGGCTGTAGACTCACAGCAAATTCGCTGTGGCTACTCTGGGCTGTAGACTCACATCAAGTTTGCAGATCTACATGGTCTGGTGACATGCACATTGAGATCTTTGACAACCTTCTAAAGTCACAAATGATTTTGTTCATCTTAGCTATTATTGCGACCTTAAACTTTGTTGATTGCGACAGATAATATATAGCTGCAACATTACACATTGTGAAGGGTGAAGCCAATGTTTTATGATAAGCATCTTTTTATGAATCTATCATGTCAAAATGGTGAATGCTATCTTGGATAATTGGTATGATAAATATCCTTCCATGTCTATGATATTTCATCTCCATTCTCTGTAAACACCAGGACTTTGCCACCGTGCCCACATTGTGATGCTAAAAACAAACATTACGATCTAATTCTAGAAATTCCATCAATCAAAAAGTAATCAAACTTGATACAACAAACTGAATCAATTTGTCGTGACTAATGGCATTGACGCATCCAGTGGCAGCCTTCATCTACAGGAGTGAGTGAGTGAGTGAGTGAGTGAGTGAGTGAGTGAGTGAGTGAGTTTAGTTTCACACTGCACTCAGCAATATTACAGCCATATGGCGGCAGTCTGTAAATAATCGAGTCTAGACAAGACAATCCAGAGATCAACACTATAAGCATCGATCTACGCAATTGGTGAGTGAGTGAGTGAGTTTAGTTTTACGCCGCACTCAGCAATATTCCAGCTATATGGCGGCGGTCTGTAAATAATCGAGTCTGGACCAGACAATCCAGTGATCAACAGCATGAGCATCGATCTGCGCAATTGGGAACCGTTGACATGTGTCAACCAAGCCAGCGAGCCTGACCACCCGATCCTGTTAGTCGCCTCATACGACAAGCATGGGTTACTGAAGATCAGTTCTCACGGGCATCATCTACAGGAAGCCATAGGGAAGCATTCAGGGACAAGTTGATCATGCACACACACACACAAGTAGAGAGTGGTCAGATTTTCATGGTGCCTACATGCTACATAAAGTAGAATACATGCTAGTAAAACACTCTGACTATTGACACGTTGTGGTTCACAGAACATGACAACTTGCGGAAATATCTGTCACCGTTTTGATAAGACTTTCAATCTCTCATACCTATAGAAAGAAAACATTGGAACTTTGTATACATTTCCCACCATCAAGCGAAGACCAAGTGGTGCCTCTTCCTGACCATCATGTTTCATGAACCACAACTTTCTTGGTCTGTACATTAACAACACGGAGAACATGCAGTGCGGTGGTCAGTAGCAACGGGAAGCTTCAGTGACAATGGTCATGATGATGAATTAATAGCAAAACCACTGAAAGCATTAGCGTAACTACAACCACACCAACCTCCCCGGCTATATTACTACTACAGCCCCTGACAGAGTTGCTGGCTATATTACTACTACAGCCCCTGACAGACTTGCTAACCAGTGTCTGCTCAAGTTAAGGTCTCATTTCCAAAGTCTAAGAAATCTAAAATCCAATCTAACTTCATTCTACTCACTACATCGTTCCACAAAATACTGGACATTAACTGGAAAACAGGAAAACTAATTGGGTCTCTACATTCTGCATTGACGTGATAGTGTTGAATAACAGTCATTATTGTGGAAATATCAGGATACATGTCATTCTGTATTCCAAGAACAACAGCTGACTACATCCAATGTATTTGCAGCATTAAAACACCTTACTCACTTTCTGTCTGGTTAGGAAGTATTCAAATATGTGTATGTTAAATACGAGATCATTTTGTAAACACAGCAATATGATCATACTGATTTGGTAATGTTCCACAAAACAGTTTTATCAGTGAAACCATTTTAACTCAGATCATTCGGTAATGTAGACTGTTGTGTTAAGATAATCCAAAGTCTCTCATTTCAACAGGCTTGAAGAACTTGCATCCCTGAGACTGCTCTGTGGAATGGCTGCCTGGTCAGCAACTCTGACAAACATGTTCATCGACAAGTTTATACAAAGACGTTTTAAAAAAATATCAGAAGTGGCAACAAATAGATGAGCAACAATGTGAGCAGATGAATGAAGCTGGGTGAGTGACAACGTGAGATGAAAGAACTCTGTTGGTGCAGACGTACCAGGTAACACACCATCAGCGGTGCCAGTTTGATCTTTAACTTGGCCATCCACGGGAAGCAGCAGTGTGCCAGCATGGCCCCCGGGTGATACTTCAACACAAACACGATCCAAACAATTAAACTCAAGAAAGGTTTGATGGAAACTAGAAGTGTCTCACCTCTTGTACCGCCTAATGGACTGTACGTCTTGTTTCCTTGGCTACCAAGGTGAATTATACTGCAGTCCTACATACTCACTGTTGTATATCATGGGTTTGTAAGTACTGGGTTTGTATGTTATGGCTTTGTAAGTACTGGGTTTGTAAGTACTGGGTTTGTATGTTATGGCTTTGTAAGTACTGGGTTTGTAAGTACTGGGTTTGTATGTTATGGCTTTGTAAGTACTGGGTTTGTAAGTACTGGGTTTGTATGTTATGGCTTTGTAAGTACTGGGTTTGTAAGTACTGGGTTTGTATGTTATGGGTTTGTAAGTGTTGGGTTTGTATGTTATGGGTTTGTATGCTATGGGTTTATTTGTATGTCATGGTCTGTACACACAAGGCCGTGACACACTCTGTATGAGGAATACTGTAACTTTGTTTATACACGGCAAAGGGCTCTGTTGATGAGTGTGATTTACTAACAGCTTCATCAACAACTTGAAAGACACACACCACTGTTAAACAGGCAATGTTACACAGTGACTGTATGTATTCACAGGGAGATGAAGCATGGTATAAAGAAGATGATAGCAAGACTGAGAGACAGATGGTAATCTGGGTTTAGCTCTGCTTTAAACAATATTTCAGTTATATCACATGTCTCCTGATGTGGGAGGACAGGTGAGGCAGGTTTCAGCCAACTTGACGGTAAAACCATGAGTGCAATATGATGCTACTAAACTCAGGGCTAGCTGAGATCTGAATACATGATAATATATTTCTGGCATGTCTAAGGAACACAGTGACTTGCAGCCGCTTGGAGACTCTGGCACTGCTGTGATATAGAGATCAGAATTTGCAAGCGTATCTTTAAAAGAGCATGCGACAGATTGCTTTGCTATACATATCACATAGTTAAATACTATTTGGAGTCCAACATATGTGAAATACATGTAGTTCCCTGGCTGGGCCCTCCAGACTGTAGCACACATGGATGAGAAATCAATGTCATTGCATCAAGAGATGAGAAAATGTTCAGAAATAAAATGTCAGTAAAGAAAGGACATCAAACTGCTAGAATCATGCTCCAGTGACTCTCCACTACTGCAGAGACCAAGATGCTTATTATACACATATTATGGAGTCTACATGTCTAACGTCTATTAAACACAGAGATATATTTACAAACCGGAGCAGTGTTAGAATTATAGGGTCTAGGGTCCTTGACCTTGACTTCTCTCTAATGAGTCCTGTAAAATTCATCTTCGCATTGGTAATGTTTCAGATGTATCATTACATGAATAAGATACTTTCTATGACATATTTTCCAAGCTTTTTGTATTAAAATGTTTGACTTTTAACATTCGAGTCTATGACAAGCAGTCAAACACCCCTTGACTCTCATGCTAATACTGAAGGCAGGACATGGACTAGTCTATCTCAGCTACCTTCTGGGCCATGGCAGCAAATTCGGCACTCTTCTGCATGAGCTGTGCATCTCGAGCTGCACACTCTTGCTGCACCTTGTCCAGGTCGCGTTGTGCTGTCATCAGCTCATCGTGAAGGTCACTGATAGACTTCTCCATGCAGTCCATGGACAGCGACGACACCATCGATGCAGACGCTGACGCTGTGGCTCCCCCGTAGGAATAGTCACTTCGATCCTGGAATAATGTGTCATGTGAGTGGAGGTGGAAGTAATCGAGTCATAGATACTACAAGATACAACTCATAGCGTTGGGAACAAGGGCAGACAACTAACTGAGCATGATCTCTCAATCCATCAACTGCCTCATTTGCCCAGCACAGGTCCCCACGTTTAGTTTTACGCCGCTTTTAGCAATATTCCAGCAATATCACAGCGGGGGTCACCAGAAATGGGCTGCACAGTGTATCCATGGGGGGAATCAAACCCAGGTTTTCGGCGTGACAAGCGAACACTTTAACCACTAGGCCACCCCACCGCCCAATTTCATCTGTGTGTAATCAATGCGCCATCAATGTTGTCAATCAATGTGTCATCAATACAGAACAGAGCACCAACAATACTAACAATGAGTTTTATGCATCAATGCCAGCAAGGTACTGAATCACAAAGACATGATGACAGTGACAGGAAAAAGACATTGAGGCTATCACCCACCACGTGCATCCCTCACCCACCATGTGCATCCCTCACCCACCACGTGCATCCCTCACCCACCATGTGCATCCCTCACCCACCATGTGCATCCATCACCCACCATGTGCATCCATCCATCACCCACCATGTGCATCCATCCATCACCAACCATGTGCATCCATTCATCACCCACCATGTGCATCCATCCATCACCCACCATGTGCATCACCCACCATGTGCATCCATCCATCACCCACCATGTGCATTCATCCATCACCACCATGTGCATCCATCCATCACCCACCATGTGCATCCATCCATCACCCACCATGTGCATCCATCCATCACCAACCATGTGCATCCATCCATCACCAACCATGTGCATCCATCCATCACCAACCATGTGCATCCATCCATCACCCACCATGTGCATCCATCCATCACCCACCATGTGCATCCATCCATCACCCACCATGTGCATCCATCCATCACCCACCATGTGCATCCATCCATCATGTGCACCATCCATCACCCACCATGTGCATCCATCACCCACCATGTGCATCCATCCATCACCAACTATGTGCATCCATCACCAACCATGTGCATCCCTCACCCACCATGTGCATCCATCCATCACCCACCATGTGCATCCATCCATCACCCACCATGTGCATCCATCCATCACCAACCATGTGCATCCATCCATCACCAACCATGTGCATCCATCCATCACCCACCATGTGCATCCATCCCTCACCCACCATGTGCATCCATCACCCACCATGTGCATCCATCCATCACCCACCATGTGCATCCATCCATCACCAACCATGTGCATCCATCCATCACCCACCACGTGTATCAATCACCCACCACGTGCATCGTCATCATGTCCTGCATCAGTTGCTGCAGATCATGTAGACAGTCGCCCAGTTTGCCGGCCTGTCCCCCATGGGCCCCAGCATCCTCATCCGACGAATCAGTGGAGCAGGTGCTCTCCCCTTTGATGACCCTCAGCATCTTCTGCAGCTGTTTGTACGTCCCAATCACCTCCGTACGTAGCTGGAGACAAGAACCCACATAAATAACAGTACACATGTCAACACTGATTATCTTAACATGCAAAGCAAGGCTTTAAACAAGTCAATGTAAATGATAACATCTGAAAAAGCTAGTCAAACATGCAAACTAAAATTCTAGAAACATTATCCACATTCTTCCTCTGAAATGTAGGATTATTATAAAGATTGACAATGCTGAAACTATCTCTCTGGAACAACCAAGCTCAACTAATTCAATCCTTCTTGTTCAATGACAGCCCATCATGCTGAATGCCCTCCCTCGACATTAATTGTAATCTACTTTATGAACCCACTTAATTCACTGCGTAAACAAATAACCTGGTACCTACTACCCCTTTACAACTGTCATGTCCATCAACTGACTGTTGAACGCTAACATTGTCACAACTGAGACCAAATTCCTGACAGTCAGCCATAAAACTACACCAGAAGGACTAAGTGCTGGACAACAGTCTTAACTGGGGCAGGTCCCAGGGTATAGGTTAAACCATGTTCAACAGTTTTGTGTTTTTCTATGCTGTGACAGCATCACGCGAGAGGAAAGCCTCCATGATAATTCTAAGATCTTAACCACCTTGGAGAAGCCCATGATGATCGTTAACTGCTGACAAACCTAGAGACATAACTGTGTTAAGTAGGCAATTATGTGTCTGGCACACCTAGGGGAGGTAACTCAGACCAGAAACTACAGCCCACTTAAGGAAGACTTGGCAAGAAGCATCACCTCAGTCTCCTCCTCCCTGGTCGTGGTGGTGGCAGTGGCTTCCTGGAACTCCGTCAGGAAGCTGCTCTCATTCGACATGGTGGAGTTGGCCAGCATCGCCATCTCGTACTGGTCGTCATCATCGTCACACTCGTAATCATCTTCATCCAGCATTTCCGCAGACATGCTACGGTGCCATGGGTTGAGAGGGTGCTGAAGTGTAAGGACATTCTCAGTATATGCTGTAGATAATTAGGCATGGAGTACAATGGCAATGCGGACCTGGGAGCGCCTACTTACATCTTCCCGCATCTCGCTGTGCAGGGAGCTCTCGAAGCCAGGAGACATGGCGGTCAGCTCACTGAACAGGTTCATGGAGGGTCCGGTGGAGCTGGACTGACTCTGCTGAGACAGATGTTCCACCTGTGCCTGAAGCTGGGCGTTGGCCTCCTGCAACTCCATCACCTCCCGCTGTTGCTGGTGGAGCTACAACAGCAAGAAGGTGGTCAAGTGGTATCCTTACAAAGTCACTTACCTCGTTTCACTAGTATCGTGCTAGATTCAGCACTGTGACACTTCTCTCATGTATTCCATCAGTGAGAAGCTCTAAATAACAATCAAATCAAGCTGAAATGTATTATCCAAGCTGGTCCACTTGTAGATCAGTTTAAACAGACTGATGATAACCCAAGTGATGATTCTGTTACCTGTCACCCATTCTTAAAACTCCAGCATCACGATCATGGAACTCCTCCAGACTACAGGCCAGGGTGTCATGTTCACCCAACTGTTCCCCTTCCTCTCACCTGTTGGTCTTTCTCCTGCTTCTGTCTCTCCAGCATCATGATCCGGTCATGAGACTCCTCCAGACTACAGGCCAAGGTGTAATGTTACCCCAACTGTTCCCCTTCCTCTCACCTGTTGGTCTTTCTCCTGCTTCTGTCTCTCCAGCATCATGATCCGATCATGAGACTCCTCCAGACTACAGGCCAGGGCATCACGTTCTTCGGTCAGCAGCACAATCTTCTTCTCCACCTCTTGGCATTTCTCCTGGATATGGTTTTTCTGTGACATCACAAACAACACACAGCCTGAGTCATCAGCTCATTTACCAAACTCAATGTCTCCTAGAGATTGAAAATGTAAACTCTGGATCACTTGAACTATGCATAACACAGTGCATGCACCCATGGTAGTTAAGTCAGTGATACACACGGAAGTCTGTGGATTCCTCACCTCTTCCCGCAGTATCTCCAGGTGGATGACATGTTCATGCATCGATGTCCGTTTCGACATCATCTGCTCCCTCAGAGTCTGCACCTCCTCCCCCAACTGCTGCTCCCGATGTGCAGTCTGTTACCATGGAAACAATAATGAGGAACATAACCAGTGTAATACTCTCACATCCCCATGTTGATTGTAGGTGTGTTATATCACTCACTGTCAGATATCACCAGCTTATCCCTTACTCAGCCTCAGAAGACAGAGTACAGCCCAAGGTTGTAGAATTGTCGAGTGTATCACCTCCAAGTGTTGGATACCCGACATTTGACACTAGCTCACAATGCTAAATGTCTTTAATGTCAGAGAGGATCAAGTAGAAGTACAATACAAACAAGCACTGAAAAATCTTTCGGGACATCTGACACAATGTTGAGGCAGTGTGTTCATGGCATTGTAACCCCTGTATTCTATATTCCTGACACCTACCTGTTTGAGTTGTTCGTTGAGTCGCTCATTCTGCTGCTTGAGACTGCGGATGGTCTGGGAGCGCTCCTTGTCTCCCATCAGCTCCTGCTGCTTGCTGGCCTGCAACTCATGGCGCAGGTAGCCGATGTCGTACTGCAGCTCCTTCACCGTGTTCTCATACTCTGCCTCGATCTTCTCCAGACGCAGGTGAAGCTCATGCCGCTCCTGCTCCAGCTCCTGTAGACAGTGAGTGAGGTGAGGTGAGGTGAGGTGAGGTGAGGTGAGGTGAGGTGAGGTGAGGTGAGGTGAGGTGAGGTGAGGTGAAGTGAGGTGAGTTGAGGTGAGGTGAGGTGAAGTAAAATTGGGTTTAACGTTGTGCTTGAGAATATTTCGCTCATATGACGACGTGCATGCATGTGTATGTGTATGTGCGGCTGCTTGTACTAGCCCAGACTGGTTTTATAGTGCTAGCCCACTGAGATACCATGCCGCAGTGAAGCATGAATACCCCACTCAGACACATTATACTGACTCCGAGCCGACCAGCCCTTGTTGTACCCATTAACGCCGAGCGCCAGGCAGGGACCAACAAGTACCATATTTTAACGTCTTTTGGTATGATGCGGTCGGGGATCAAACCCGCGACCTTCCACTCTCCAGGCGGACGCTATAACCACTACACCACGGAGGTGGTCGAGTGAGTGAGTGAGTGAGTCTACTTATTAGCCCCGAGGGCAAGTGAAAATCCAACCTTGGCATTCCTTACTGACCTGTGTAATTCATCCAAAAGATCTCTGACTCATGTCATCACTTCTAAATGCACTTCAAAGAACTTGAGTTGTCAAATGTTACCACGGTTACAGCTACACCAAAGCAGAGAAGAAAGTAAGGCACCCCCCCTCCTTCCCTGCCTACCGTGATGTCAACATACATACATTAAATAGTGATGAAAGTGCCTACTACACATTTGGGTTGGTTAGAGTATCGCCCCCTATCCACACAGCAACATGATCCTGTTAGGTGCCCGGTTGACACTCCAGACACCAAAGCAACATACCTCTATCTTGGAGGAGTATTCTTCCAGTAGCTGTTCATTCCTGGTGGAGAGTTCAAGATTTTTGTCCAGTAAAGCCTTCCCAAGCTCAGCTGCTAGGATCAGGTCTTGCTCTTTCTGAGCCAACTGAGCATATAGGTCACCCTCACTGGGGGAATCCCCTTGGTAGGACGCCATGGAGACAAGAGTTAGGAGGTCGTCAAGTTCACAGAGTGTTGGTGCGGCTCCCAAAGGAGACGAGTCTAGCTTGCATGCACACATGGCTCGCCCCTGGAGCCGGGGAGGGCACAGTCCTTACAGTGCTGCAATGCCAAACTTCACATTAGCAAGCACCTATATTCAGCTCATTTCCAACCTGCACAAGAATATCTCAGTATACATGGTACTTTCAATACAAGAGTTACCATAGCAGGTACAACTGCTACAAAACAACAACAACAACAACAACAACAACAAAAATTACAGAAAGTTTGCATGTTTTGCTGGGGTTCTGGGGAACTATCTGACTATCTGAATGAAGCAGGGGCATGTATCACAAAAGTGACCTTGACATTGCAACATTCACATAAAATTAACCGACGCTGACAACAAAAACAGGTAGCATTGCATCATGTGTGTGTACCAGGGGTACAGCTGGACTTTATGAGTTTACACCGGAAACTTACACAAACATCAAACATGCTAATAAAAAAACAAAGTGATTTTTCTTCTGAATGGAGCCATAAGGCCCCAGGTTTTCATCAAATCATCTAATTTCAGTAATGTCAAATGGTTACTAGTATTTCCCTGACAGTCACTAGTCAAGAACCACCAAATGTGGTGGCCAGTGGGGGATGTTATGACTGATATCATCATGGTATGATTGTGGAGAACAAGGCGGCCAAGTCACTGGTCACCCAATCACATTTAGTCACCAGGCACCTTATTCTCAAAACGTTCGTAGCCCAAAGAATTCTTAACTTTGATCGGAGCCAATGTGTTAAGACTGACTGACTGAGTTTGGTTTTACGCCGATTTTAGCAATATTCCAGCAACATCATGGCGGGGGACACCAGAAATGGGCTTCACACATTGTGCCCATGTGGGGATTCAAACCCGGGTCTTCAGCGTGACAACGAGCCAACGCTTTAACCATTAGGCTACCCCAACCGCCCCGAATGTGTTAAGAATGGGCTTAAGAAGTCTGTAGGGCTACGAACTTCTTAAGACCATTCTTAACACATTGGCTACGATCAAAGTTAAGAATTCTTTGGGCTACGAATGTTTCGAGAATAAGGGCCCTGGCCACCAGTGCTTGGTACTCTATGTATGTATGAACTCTGCTGGAGTGAAGACTGTATGGCCAGAGATCATGTGACTCAGTGTAAGAATATCACATTACTACATCAGCAGTCTCGCATCTATCTGCACTGAGTTATGCAAGATTTAACCTGGAGACTCTCACTGACCAAGCTGATATGACTTTACCATTCCACCATAGTACATGCTGTTCCACAAAGAATCTTGGAATCGTCACAGACCTTTAGGTAAAAAGTCTGTGAAATGTAAGTGAATATTAATAACTGTCCCATTATACAACCATGTTGTTTGACCGGTTGCACAGTATTCAACAGATAGGCATGTACCAAGCACTTAAACATTCTTACTCTCTCTAGTCAGTATACCAGTGAAGGTCCAGGCTAGAATCTGTCTTCACCAACCAATGCTTGTCGTAAGAGGCAACTATCGGGATTGGGAGGTCAAGCTTGCTTGACATGTGTTGTTTTATCCCAGTTGCGTAGGTCAATGCTCATGCTATTGATCACTGGAATGACTAGTCCCAACACGATTATGTACAGACTGACGCCACACAGCTGCAATACTGCTGAGTGCGGCATTAATTTAAACAGCAAACAATAGAAAAACAACTCTGGTCAGTGGATCAGGTTGCACTCAATGTTCAATCTCAGCTTCCTGGGGAATATACAGCCTAAGCATCAGAAGTTTAAGGCCCTACCTGGTACCCATGTGCTGCTGGGTGAACAGAGAGGCACATCATAAACAAAGTCATATGCCAAAAGAGATGTCACATGTGCTTCAACATCTTCAATGTTGGGCAGGACTGAAGCCCTGGAAACTCTCAGAAGTCAAGCTGAGAAACATGATTCCCCATCCAAAGGACCATGAGCCACAACCTAAAGCACTCCTTTTCCTAAGTTACTCCAGGTGAGGTGAGGTGAGGTGAAATTGGGTTTAACGTTGTGCTTGAGAATATTTCGCTCATATGACGACGTGCATGCATGTGTATGTGTATGTGTGGCTGCTTGTACTAGCCCAGACTGAAGCTGGTATTATAGTGCTAGCCCACTGAGATACCATGCCGCAGTGAAGCATGAATACCCCACTCAGACACATTATACTGACTCCGAGCCGACCAGTCCTTGTTGTACCCATTAATGCCGAGCGCCAGGCAGGGACCAACAAGTAACATATTTTAATGTCTTTTGGTATGATGCAGTCCGGGATCAAATCTGCGACCTTTTGCTCTCCAGGAGGACGCTCTAACCACTACACCACGGAGGTGGTTGAGTTACTCCAGATAAACATGAGCAGGCTCATAAATTAAAAAGAACCTGTTCTCTGGCTTTTGAAAAAATGGTGCAAGTGGGTAGCGTTTTTGTTTTTTTCAACCTTGGAAGGATGTCCCCACATAAATATTCCTTGATAATTACTACACTGGTAACTTGATCCCTTCATTTGCAGCAGCCTGTCATGATCACCATGGGAACTCTTCAGACAGGAGTCCAGGCTTTCATAGATTTGTAATTCCCAGAACTCAACCTGATGTTATCCAGTGTATATACTCTTTGTACAGAGTATAGTATCAAGAGCACTTAATGTTTATATATTCATGCAGAACAACCACGATAACCAGCTGTGCCTGTTTTAATACTAATAGCAGATACATGTTTTACATCGCCTTGGCTCATTTGTCCAAATATCCAGTAAATTAGAATGAATTGTGCTTACATTATTGTAGTGGTGGTCTAATTAATTGAAATAATCGAAGACTGGTCGTAGTGACTAAATGACCAAGCAATCGATCATAATTTCTCATAATCAAACACAAACAATTCTGGAACACTTGTTTTCATTAACAATATTTTTCACATGGTTGTTTTGTCTGTTACATTTCGTAAGCACTACAAGCTCGTTTCAAGTCATGATTGTATTTATCTTAAAGATTCCAAGAAATGTTTGTTCCTAACATACGAGTCATCCTCATGCCCCCCAAAAAACAAAAGAACTACATTTTTTCCCCTTATTTTTATGTGCATCAACAAATTTCATAAATGGCGCTAACCAATTATTTTCGATGATTGATCGGTAGTAATGAACCAATCATCAATTATGAGATTTTAACCAATTCCCAACACTACATTATTGTACAAGCTTAATAATATACAACAATGAATACCGGTATATAAATTGTGCTCATGAAAATTCCGAAAAATATATCAGAAATATATAAGAAACATGTGGCCGACTTTGTGATGATGCAACGATGCCCTAGAACCAAGACCATATTTTTAGGCCTTATTATATAGTAGATAAACACATATCTGTGTGAGTGAGTGAACATGGTTTTATGCCACTTCTAGCAATATTCCAGCAATATCACATCGACAACCAGAAATGGGCTTCACACATTGTATCCATGTGGGAAATTGAACCCGGTCCTTAACCACCAGACTACCCCACCACCCCCTAATATCTGTGTGATGCCACTGTGAGTTACAATCATCACACAAACATGAGCGACTGCATGCAGAGAAGATGCACTCTTGTTATCGTGTAAAATGAATACATCAAATACTACTGGCTGAACCAAACATGACAAAACAAATGGATACAAACTCTTACAAAATCCGGTATTGATCTCCTACATATAATCATATAAAAATCCTTAACAACATATGCCCTACAGCGAAATGATGAAAATGTTAGAGTGATATTTGATCCTCAGCAAGCCCAATTATTACTTATAAGTGAACTTACTGAAGTATTGAATTGAACAAGTGAGAAATTCCATTCAGCGTTAATTTGCAAGGATCAAGTCGCTGACAAATGTATCGCAGCCAATCAACACAGTGAGCAGTGACCACATCAACATGATCAAGTTTGGACTGTCATGTTACAGCAGTAATCATGTCCGTAAAACAACAAGAAACCAGAAAATCAATGCTGCAATTCTCGTGTTTTGTTTCTTCCAGTATAGATGACATTCCAACAAAAACAACACATATCAACAGACAATTCTACCGGACATTTGTTACCTCCATGTTCTATAATACAGACTGCATGAATGTGTCAATACGGTTGACGTATCATACCACTGACACAAGTAGATTACCGTGATCAGTTACTCATGGTCACTTCACTTAGGTCAATAAAAAAAATATTGTGTTACACCTCCTTAAACTTTAGGGTAGGTAGGTAGGATTTTAACCAAAAAAAATTTCATATTTTTTTCAAAAGTACAAACTAAAAGAACATTTATCAATGTGTAATTGTATATTCAATCAAGTTTTAGACTGCACGTTAGTGGCCATAATGTTGACTTTCTGTTGACAATGGCCGACATCTATTGTGGCCAGGGAAAAAAGAAAGCTTATTTTATTCATAGTCATACGTCTCAAAAATAGAATCGGCACTAGAATTGAAGGGTCAGTCTGGTAATCAGAACCAGTGTCCACAACACTTTGTTAGGCCTAACAAAGTGAGCTATGCTGCAAGTCTCTCATGTTTACAATCAGAGGGGTGTTTCAGCTAATATTCATTATAACAGTCTTTGACTTCTGAAAGTGGTACACAGCTACAAGTAAAACTCTGGTTAGTGAGTTGGGTTTTAGGCTGGTTTATTACAGCTAGATCACAGCGTGTCAGCTTCCTGTCGGTGGAACGTTGAAGTGATGGACACGTTCAACTCTTTAATAAAACCTACAAATATGGGCCTGGCTCTGACAAACCTAGTAACATGGTAGAGGCAATCTAGGATTCAAACCCATGTGAGGTCCCTGGTGTGCAGCCCGTGAAGGTCCCATCTAGAATTGTTTATAATTGGTCTTCAGCTACCCATGCTTGGTGCAAGAGGCAACCAACAAGATCCGGTGGTCAGGCTTGCTGACTTGGTTGACACGTCATCGTATCCCAATTGCGTAGATTGATGCTCATGCTGTTGATCACTAGATTATCTGGTCCAGACTCGATTATTTACAGACTACCACCATATAGCTGGATTATTGCTGAGTGTGGCTTTAAACAACAAACCAACCAACCAACCAAACCTGGCATGCTCATGGAACAGAACTCTGAGCAGCAAATGTTGGCCCCATACATTACTGGGCCACCCAGTTCAGGATTTCATAGATCAGTGCTAGGCCATATAACGACACTACATTCTTCTGAATATGATATATAACCTATAGGGCTTCAACATAGGCACTTTCAGTAACTAAAATTGACTTTGTGGCTAAAATACATTTCTATAGACACATGTGCAAATAAGTAATTCTGACATGGCAGGGATTTACAGGACGCGAATTCCTGCGTCCTATACACATAAAAATTGACAATGGACGCAACAAAATATATTAGTGCGTCCACCAATCAAGTGACAATAAGTTATCACTGAGTTTGCTTCTAGTTGGGTTATGGTATTATTTGCAATTTAGTTACTGTAACAATGTGATGATCATGATACACAACACAATAACAGTATTAATAATAATATCTAAGTGTCTGGGACCCCCATTTTGTTGTCCAGGACCCTCAAATACAGGACTCCATGTAAATCCCTGCATATTCTTGTTATAGAGTCTGTAACTAGTAACACAATTACAGCAACACAGCAGTGGCAACGATTGGTTGAGGAACATCATGCCAAAGGTATTAGTGTGCCATTTGTGAACATAAAAATATTCATCCAATTATAATAACATACCTCATTCACACATATAACTCAGTTTGTGCTAGACTGAAGGCAAGGGAACAGCAAGGGTCCAAATGCATGCTTTTCTTAACAATGCTCATACGACACAAAGTGAAAACATCACAACTTCATAGCACACATCAATATACCTCGATAAACTGAAGTCAGTTTCCATGTGAAAAACAAAATCGTAACATTCAGAGAATTTATTAAAATGTTCAGGTGAAATTGCCAGGACCACATGTTATGTAATTGGTTTCCAAAACAAACATACCCGGTATTCTGGGTACTGTGTGAACTTCTGTTACCAGTGCTTAGTCAATGTTTCCGTGTTGATTTGGTTGCAATGTCTATCTATTACCTACAAATGAAGCAGCTACCTGACAACATCAGGAAGAGGCCAGCAGATCATGACAAAACACTACATGTCCTGAAGGTGTGTCTAATCCTGTTAATCCAACAAAAATAACATTGCATACATTGTTGAGTGTGTGAAACCTCCTTTGATCTTGACAGTGTTCCACTACAATGACAACTAATGTCTGTCTCTAGGTGTTTATGTCTAACCACCTGGTTGAGTACATTATCATCAGCTGCTGCCCTATTCAACACAAAGCTTGTCTGGCAGGGATAGATAACTGATGGCATGTTTCTATGTTGCTAGTAATTCTCTGATGAGTGTTGTGGCCATTGTAAGCCAGCAGATGAGAAGACAGAAAACATATGTGATAGAATAACGTTGGAATGGAGCCATGCGACAACTGTTTTAACCCAGTCACTGATGTTTTCATGTGGCTGACATTATACATGTAGTTGTATTATCATCTCTTTTTCATATTGATTTTGATTCTATAGAATAGAGTAGAATAGAACAAGTGTAGAAGTCAGCACAGCTCACATACCCCCGCTTCCCACTTTGGGACATGGAAATGACTGATATTGATATATATAATGTGACAAGGATCAGCAGCTCACAAGACTTTCTCCTTGACTCTACTAAACTTTAAATACATGTTAGATAATAGTTTTGCCATGTACTGATTACAGTAATAATTTATGGAAACATTATTTTTTTTTTTTTTCCGTGGAAACCTGACATACAATTGAACTTGTTGCACACAATGAAGTGGACGTAGATGAAGATTGTTGTTTTTTAGCACATGGCATATCTGTGGTTCATGATTAACTTGTGTATTAAGTTTGGTGAACCTAGCATGTATAGTTTCGATGATATGCTGTGGCCAGGTAACCATTAAACACATTTTGCACAAAGTCATGACTCATGTTTCCATGGAAACAAAACAAATTCTGAAAATACTTTAAAATAGCAAAAGGCGCATCAATGGGTAATGATTAACATGTGTGTGAAGTTTGGTGAACCTAGCATGTAAACTTTAAGAGATATGCTCTGGACAAAACCATCAAACACATTTGGCACTAAGTCGTGTTTCCATGGAAGCAGCAAAAAACAAAATTCTGAAAATACTTTAAAATAGCAAAAGGCACATCAATGGGTAATGATTAACATGCGTGCAAAGGTTGGTGAACCTAGCATGTAAACTTTAAGAGATATGCTCTGGACAAAACCATCAAACACATTTGGCACCAAGTCATGTTTCCATGGAAACAGCAAAAAAAACAAAATTCTGAAAAATCTTTAAAATAGCAAAAGGCACATCAATGGGTAATGATTAACATGTGTGTGAAGTTTGGTGAACCTAGCATGTAAACTTTAAGAGATATGCTCCGGACAGAACCATCAAACACATTTGGCACTTTGTCGTGTTTCCATGGAAACAGCAATAAAACAAAATTCTGAAAAACAATTAAAATAGCAATATGCACATCAATGGGTAATGATTAACATGTGTGTGAAGTTTTGTGAACCTAGCATGTACACTTTAAGAGATATGCTCCGGATAAAGTTTAATAATACTTTAATGCCTTTTCAGGAATTTGTGTTACATCAGCAGAGCTACTGACACATTATAAGATAATAAACATATTTACATAAATTCTTTGATTTAGGTATCTTCACATTTGTTTAAGACTACCTGACTGACTGAGTTTGGTTTTACGCCGCTTTTAGTAATATTCCAGCAACATCACGGCGGGGGATACCAGAAATGGGCTTCACACATTGTGCCCATGTGGGGATTCAAACCCGGGTCTTCGGCGTGACGAGCCAACGCTTTAACCATTAGGCTACCCCACCGCCCCATTTGTTTAAGAGAGATATGGTACTTGGAATAAAGGATGTACACGCTCTCTTAGTTTTCACAATTGGAATTGGGAGGAGGTTGTATTCCGAATTTAAGTAGTGAGTACGGTCAGATATGATTTTGACAGCTTGATTCACGATTTGCCGCTCATATATTGATGATAAACATTCAAATCTGACTCCAGCGATTTTACTTGCAGTGTTAACAATTTTGTCTATTTCAGATTTGAGATGAACTGAGAGAGACCCGTACCAACAATGGAAGGAAAATGTTAAAATACTCTGAATAAATGCTACATAAAAAGATGACATCACCGATGGGGTTAACATTAAAAGATCTCAGTTTACGCATGAGTTTTGATATCAAGCATGCACCAGATATGCTAACGCAGGGATTTACAGGATGCTAATTCCTGCGTCCTATACACATAAATATTGACAATTGACGCAACAAAATATATTAGCGCATCCACAGGGACGCAGAAAAAGTATAAATACTTTTTGTAACAATTCCAATCAAGTGACAATAAGTTATCAAAGCTGGGTTATGGCATCATTTGCAATTCAATTACAGTTATTTGTAATTAATAATGTGATGATCATGATACACAAGACAATAACACTATCAATAATAATATTTAAGTGTCTGGACCCCCATTTGTTGTCCAGGACCCCTGAAATTTAAGAGTATGAGTCCCTGGGACCCTCAAAAACAGGATTCAAGGGTAAATACCTGTAACGTAAAACAATCTTCAGAGATACTATGTACAGTTTACTTGCCCATTAAACAATTTTACACATTTTAACAGAACAAATGTTAATGAGACATTGCTTAAAAGAAAGACAATTACAAAGAAATAGACTACACATCTGAGTAAGAGTGGTATTTCTATATCCCCTATCCACTTCACAGCCACCCCCTTGCTGAGATGTTTGAACCCTGCACACTGAGCTGAGCCTCTTTGGTATTAACAACACAATACCGATTTTACAAGAGTATGGTTAAAACATAAGATATAACATCTCAAAAAGAAAAAAACCCCACATTTGTGGTCATTTTAACAAATCATGAATGAGTCAGACAGAGACTTTTTGGATATCAAGTATTTTGTTGTGTTAAACAAATAAGGAGCTGATATCCAAAATGCCTTGTCTCATGTTAATCACTTCCAAATTCCCTTCAATGAGATGGGCTAATATTCACTGGTAAGAGCAGTCCAGTTTTATGAAGAGGTGAAGCGGGATGTGTTTGTGTGGGTGGGGGTGGGGTTGGGGGGGGAAAAAAGAACAAATGTGATGCAGGTTTGCCACTGCTGTGTTACGTGAAAACCACCAGCATGGATATGTTGCTGACAACCAACACACATGAGGGCAAACCCGGATTTGAACCCAGGTGGCAAGCCAAAGAAATGGAACTCTTCACCAATATCATGATCAAGACAAACTTTCAAACATAATGTAACTCCTTATTACTGTACCATGGGTTAAGCATTTAATAACATGGTAAATAACATGTTTATGTATCATAGGGTGAGGTCACAATGACTGACTGACTGACTGAGTTTGGTTTTACGCCGCTTTTAGCAATATTCCAGCAACATCACGGTGGGGGTCACCAGAAATGGGCTTCACACATTGTACCCATGTGGGGATTCGAACCCGGGTCTTCGGCGTGACGAGCCAACGCTTTAACCACTAGGCTACCCCACCGCCCAGGTCACAATGAAAGTAATCTAAACTGATTTGATTTGACTCAAGGATTGTGATATACTGAGTGATATGCCTCTAATATTAATAAATCATCAATATTTATTACACAGTAAAGAAGTAATTTAAATGATGAGAAAACAAATCACTTATAGCCTTATTGTAATACTACACATCTTTGAAGAGGAATTAAAACTAAAATTTCTATTATCAGGCTTAAACAGAACAACCGATTACTGTGAATACCATGGATAAGAATGACCAAAAAAAAAGATAAATACATATTCGAACTGAACTAATGGGACATTCCAGACATGACCATTGCACAGCATCCTTATTTATTTTAAGTGAGGAATAGTGAGTGGGCGAGTTTGGTTTTTACATCGCTTCTAGCAATATTCCAGCAAATATCACGGTGGGGGACACGAGAAATAGGCTTAACACATTGTACCCATGTGGGAAATTGAACTTAGGTCTTCGGGCATGACAAGTGAACGCTTTAACCACAAGGCTACCCCACTGCCCCAAGTTAGCAATATGTATTTACGGAAATGATCATCCCATGTTCTACAAACACCCATGATACGGTGACAATCAATTCATAAGAACCCATACCTCATAAATGAACCATTTATAATTCAATGTCTATCAAATTAGTAGGAAGTTGACCTTATTTGTCTTTCAATCAGTAATTGAAATCAATATCAAATGTCTTTCAAACTTGAATCATGTCAATAACGTTAAGTCTAGGATCTTTATTCAGTGCTATACTTATGTCAACAGGCCCTGAAGAACTGGGTCAATACGGAACTGAAAGCACAAAAATCATCCACATAGACGTTTACTATTTACTAAATCACAATTTAATTTACAAAAGGACCTGTCCGAGCCACGTAAGAGATTTAATTCGATTACATTTAGACACAGATAGCGGCAGAAGTTCTGCAGTCCTGTATGGCATTGGCACTAGCAATGGTCATAGGGTAATCATATGCAGGCATGAGTCATGAGAGGAACCTCATCATGATAATATATGCTGAAATCTCAAAACATCACATATAAAGCAGCATGAAAACGTTGTATACTGATCATCTGAAGCAAACAGAATCAACAAACTACCAAATCGGTGACACTGACATCTCGGGTGCATGGCGCGTCGTTTTCAAAAAATCGAAGTCGAGACGAGGTGAGAACGAGAGGCACATGAAAGCCAAAGCACACCAAGCCATTCTAAAATGTCAGAACTCACCAATTTGCTTATCTTTCATAGTTTCATATGGATTACCTGACCAACGCGCATGTTGATGGCATTTTGGCGTTGTTGACTCACAAATAAGGTAGTATTAATGTGCAGTGCATCTCTCTCAGTGCCAGCTTGTGAACCGGAAATGACGTAAGGCAATGCAAGGGCAAGTAACTCATCTCGAGAGGATGGCGGTAGCGCTCTCGTCTCGAGTCTCCCCCATGAAACGTGCGAAAACACATGAACAGTGTTTGAAATTCATGATGTCTCCATCACATGTGTAATTTGATGTGTATATTGTCCATACACCTACTCCGCTAAACATGCACACTAGTTATAAAGGATAGTGGTATGTACATTTTACATATGAATATATTCTACCCTTAGGTATTCATGAGTGAGTTGGGTTTACCAATCTATTTAAATATCCTGAAACCAAATTTGGGAAGCCGAAGTGATGAAGGTGTTAGACATTACAACGCTGCTGATGTGATCTGTGTGTTTGTCTGTCAACGCCACACGTGCAATATTCCAGCTGCATGACAGCAGTCTGTCAACACTAGAGCCTCGTCCTGACAATCCAGTGATTGGTATCCTTAGCATCGATCCATCGATTGTGATTCGATGACACTCATGAACCCAGCCAGCAAGCCTGACCCCCCTCTCTAACAACAGACACGGGTTGCTGACGACCACCCTGCCCTCCCCCGGACAGTGTACTTACATTACTGCTATGTGCTAACACCGTGGCAGGCCTGGCGTCGGCGTAGACCTGTGACCTCTACGACACACCTGTCGCCGCCTGTACATAGATAACGTCCATCTGCTGTTGGGACATGTTCCATGATGGAATCAGTCATCTGCTACAACATTACTCCACCGCTGTCGATATCTTACCCAGACCTTCTCCAGAGTTGAAAACATATTTTATTTTCACATGTGTCAAAGGGGAGGCTCATGACGGACATACAATGTAGGCTACTTGCATATGTCTTTGTATATGATTTACAGGCTTAGAACGTTCGGTCGCCACGCAGCACTGCATACTTCGATAAAGATTATATACAGTGTAAATGTTTGTTTGATGTTTAACGCCGCTCTGTAAGCAATATTACAACTACGTGGTTGAGTCTACACCTGACATTCCAATAGTCAACAGCACGAGCATCGAAATACACAATGCCATTTAGAAAGTGGTCAAACGTAACATATGTTATATTTGGGATTACACTTTCTTTGTAAAGTACAGATTCTAGTACTTTTGTTGGGTTGAGTCCCATCCGGGATTCGAACCCACACCCTCAGAGTCAGGCACCTAATCGCCAGCACACAAAGTCAGGCTGTAAGGTCTGTAAATGATCGAGTCTGGACCAGACAATCCAGTGATCAACAGCATGAACATCGATCTGCGCAATTAGGAACCGATGACATGTGTCAACCAAGTCAACGAGCCTGACCACGATCCCGTTAGTCGCCTCTTACGACAAGCATGGGGTTGACACGTGATCGAATCCCATCCGCGTAGATCGATGCTCATGATATTGATCACTAGATTGCCGGGCCCAGACCGCCGCCATATAGCTGAACAGGTTTGCTGAGTGCGGCGTTAAACAAATTACCAAACGGATTTTCACGGGTCCGTATATAAACGTGTTTTCATCCAATTCACTATAAGCAAGGGCGATGGGATTGGCTACTCGTTGATTGGTTGAAACAGTTACCCGTTATCCACACGACTCGGGTTCGATTCCCCACATGGGTTCAATGTGTGAAGCCCATTTCTGGTGTTCCTGCCGTTAAATTGTTGGACTATTGCGGGAAGCTGCATAAAAGTGAGTATGTTGTATAAATATGTTGGTTATATACACTTCCTATACTGTCTATACTGTTGTTGTTGTTGTCACCCATGAAGGTCAGTCCGGTTTAGAATGAATTCGAACCTTCAGTAACCCATGCTTGTCGTAAGAGGCGACTAACGGGATCGGGTGGTCAGGCTCGCTGACTTGGTTGACACATGTCATCGGTTCCCAATTGTGCAGATCGATGCTCATGCTGTTTGTCTGGTCCAGACTCGATAATTTACAGACCGTCACCACATAGCTGGAATGACATCACGTACTGTAGGACACAAGGAATGACATCACGTACTGCAGTACAAAGTGGTAGCGAGAACTAAGATGAGATTTTAACGAGATTGTCTTCGGCTGATGTGTAACCTATGTCTGTACACAACGTTTGTGTATAGTATGTCGGCCAAATTTTACGAGGCGTTTTTACGAGGAGCTTTCATCTTTCAGGTATTTAAAACATTGTGGTGAAGAGCTTGTTAAGTCTAAACCAGTCTTGTGGAAGCTTTCATTGATTAGGATTACAATATTTTCTTGTGATAGCGTTACCGTGACAACCGGATGTGGACTGCCCACGAGACGGTTTATCTGAGGCAGCTTATCGACGGGAAACGTCACATAAACACAGCCCCTACTTCCCCTACAGCCTGGAGCGTCATCAGACTTATGGTATTAATAGATTCAGGTCAATCTGGAGTTAGGTCAGAGGACGAGTTTGGGTGTCGCGACACTTATATCATACATACTATGTTTAGAGGAGAAGTTCGCTATTTCAGGTACCATGTCAGGGAAAGCCCACACTGTCGCTTTGAGAAAGGGATGTTGATGTTTGTGTCAGTTCTGAAATAGGACATCAAAGTAAACTTCTGATCCTACTTCTATTTTTTCAGTATGATTGAGGCGTACAGGCAGCTTCTATCCCTGGATTGACCCCGGGTCAGCTGGTCACCTACTGTCAGCCTCATGACGTGATCCGGCTCTGGCTAACTGACCGATCTGTCATCGTGCGCCATGAATCTTTCCTCAAACGTTCGGTCGACTGTGCTCCCGATCGGATTATATAAACAGCACGATTTTTTTCGCGGCATAAAACTACATTCATATCTGTTCCCAGCAATTTTAATATCCGATGCAATAATAGATCACAACACGTTTTATTTGCATTGTGATTGGTATGTCGAAGAATGAGTAACATGTCTCTGTGCGTCATTTCACACACAGACAACCCGAGAAGACAGGTAAAAGATTTCTCTTTTCAGTCTTTTCTTAACGAGGGTTGGGTGTTGCTGGATACCGCGACGGCAAGGTACTATAGCTGTATAAGCTGTACACAATAATACTGCGAGTCAAAAATTACGCTCATTCGTAACTATCGCATTTGGTTCGTATGCAAGACGCCGTGGGAAAGCTTTCTGGTTATAGCGTCCGCTCCTCACACCGAAGACCCGGGTTCACAAGTGAGCTGCTTTGAAACCTTTGCTCGTTTGTACCTATGTTTCAGTGAGTTAAGTTTAACACCGCAGCAATATTCCAGCTATAAGGCGGCGGTCTGTAAATGATCGAGTCTGGACCAGACAATCCAGTGATCAACAGCATGACCATCGATCTGCGCAATTGGGAACCGATGACATGTGTCAACCAAGCCAGCGAGCCTGACCACCCGATCCCGTTAGTCGCCTATTACGACAAGCATGGGTAACTGAGGGTACATTCTAACCCGGACCGTCACGGGTCTTTGTTTCACATACTGGTTGAATTACAATGGTGACCTGACGGAATCGTCTACTGGCTGTTTGCCAGATCTTCTCATAGTGTTCGTACCAAAGTGAAATATGGGATGTTAATGCTACTTGAGATACCGCGGTAAGCTATGTTGGGCGCTGCTCACTACGTGTATAGTGTGTAGTTATGTATCCATCAGACACAACATAGCTGGACACAGTTACAGATGTTGAATCGTTCGTAAAACTTTCAGTGTTAGTCTCACGGTAACACAGCTTTCTGTCCATATCAAAACTCTGACTGGTTTTACGCCGCTTTTAGCAATATTCCAGCAACATCACGGCGGGGGACACCAGAAATGGGCTTCACACATTGTGCCCATGTGGGGATTCGAACCCGGGTCTTCGGCGTGACGAGCCAACGCTTTAACCATTAGGCTACCCCACCGCCCCTCATATCAAAACACCAACAATACCAAACTACACACACCCTCGATTAACCAGTGTGTTATGTCGCCATTCTTTTCTCGTAAACAGAATGGGAATATTTTACAATGGATACTCGGTACTGACTTAGATCACGTGAGTGTCTATTTCTCACAAGTGGATGTCAATTTTCCACAAGTGGATGTCTTTTTCAACCAAATTGATATTTATTTCTCCCAAGTCTGTGTCTATTTCACACAAGTGGGTGTCTATTTCTCACACAAGTGGGTGTCTATTTCTCGCAAGTGTCTGGGTGTCTGGGTGTCTATTTCAACCAAATGCATGTCTATTTCACGCAAGTGGATATCAGTCTTCCCCAAGTGTGTGTCTATTTCACACAAGTAGGCGTCTAATTCACTCAAGTGGGGGTCTATTTCTCACAAGTGGGGGTCTATTTCTCACAAGTGGGTGTCTATTTCTCACAAGGCACTAATACAACTCTGATTTTGTATTATACTCCCTTTGGATTTGTTCTCAGTTTTAATACAACCTCTGTCATTCCTCTGTGGTGATTCGTATTAACTTGTAAACTTGGTTAACATCAGAACACAATTGTGAGTTACATCACGTTGATATGTCGTTTGTTGGTTTCACACCGAGTTCTCTCACTGACTGACTTCCTGCCACCAGCTGTATTACTAGTACCTTCAACTTGGGAATCAACACGACAAGGATCGAATAGAACATAGCCGTATAATACGAAGTCAGACGTAGTGTTGGTGCAGACGGAGGCAATCCGTCCCCGTACCACAGCGTCATCCTAGCGCTACGACTGTGTAGCCCTGTGTTTATATAAGGTATATATATATTTGCATAGGTGTAAAATTACCTCTGTTGAAAATCTGCAGAAGTGTGTTTAGATCCGTTTCACTGATTAGCCCAGTGGGTTAACCGAGTGATTAGAGCGTTAGCTTGTCACGCCGACGACCCTTGTTCAGTTCCCCACAAGGAGTGAGTATTTGTCTTGGTGTTCCCAGGAATATCGCCCAAGGCGGCTACAAGCTTATTATAAACACAAGACTTTTCAGAACATGGACATTTATTTAATGTTCGTAACATCTGTATATCATATTACGTGGGTCACTGTGGTCCCTAATACCGCCCCACCAACAGGCACTTCTTGGTACTATTCTGTTGGCGGGAACTCCGGTCACCTTGTCGTCTGAGGGGCCATCATTCGCTTTGCAGGGTCCCTTGGGTCACCTGGCCCCGATTTCTCGAAACAAACTTAAGTCTGAGTTTTGACTTAAGTTAGAGCTTTTACTCAAATTTGAGAAAACGCAGGGAAATGCATTTCCCAGAATGAACTGAAATTAATATCAAACCCAAACATAGTAGACAACTTGAGTTTGGTAGATAGATTACTTAAGTTGTTTGGGCTTTTTTATTTTAAAAAATGCAGTTGAGTTAAAAATTCAGCTGTTTCAAATTGTCAAACTCAGTTTGAAATTTGAGTAAAAACTTAAGTTTGTTGGTCATGGTATAGGTTCCCAGTTTGCCCTAAATATGTTAACACCATACCCATAGGTTCCACAATATGTCGTAAGAGCCAACCCCGTACCGGGCTGTTCACCCCCATGAAGCAGACACGACGAGGTACAGGTGAAATATTGCTTCAATGCCACGTTACACCAGACTCACTCACGCTCTGTTGTACGGACAAACAGCCACATGTGGAGACAACTAGCCTTGTTCCACGCCTAGATGCAGATTTTGAATCTTTTCAGAGAGAAGACTTCCACGTCTGTGTTCTGCCGCCTTGCAGTCTAGGATCCTTCTGGTGCGGGGGTTCGGCTCTGGATGTTGTGGAGCTGTGAACTTGTCCTTCAACATCCGGAATGATCTTCCGTCAGTAAGACTCGACCTTCTTGACATGGAAGTGCTGCCTCTGCGAGGGAAGTCTGCCGAAGTTAGATCGGAGAAACAAGGCACATAACTGTCTTCAGGATTAGCTTCACCACTTGTCTGTTTCTCCAGTAATGAAGCGATGGACAGTCCACTCTGTCGACGATTTAGCCTGGGCTTCTGTACGTCTGATGGCATTAAAACACCGCCATCTTGAATCCCTGATGTGACAGGCGGTAGAAGCAGACGATCCTCGCTGTTAAATTTATCATCCGTGAAATTCAGTGATTTTGAAGACAGATTTCTTTTAAATTTGTATATATTCCCCATTGTCTTGGAATATTTCTCTCTGAACAATCTCCTCTCGTTGTCCACCTTCTTCACAGTACTCTGCAGTGACCTTGACACGCTTACATTGGCAGCGCGTACGGGTTGGGTGAACTCTCGGCCCGTCAGTTTGTCTCGAGACGTGTGTTTCACCAGACTCTTGGCTCGGCGTTCATACTCCAGGCGTCTCACCATCTCACCCATCTCACCCGATAATCTTTCGACAGGACGTTGTCGTCTGAAAAACAATAACAACATGTTATTTTATCTTCCTTTATTATGTCTGCTATGGTAATCAGGTGCAAAAGAGATCGTAAGAGGATGGGGTTTGACAGAGGTGATCGTTACTTATGATATCAATCACCGGATAATATGGTCCAGTCTTTATAATTTTAAGGCCGCCGTGATATTTCAGTAACGACAATCGAAACATGACCATTAACAGCATCCCCGACGTGGATATTGTATGGTTATAGAGCGGTGGCATATCTGGTATGAAGTGTGGTATGTCTGGTATGGTTGTAAAGAGGTGGTATATTTATATGTGTGTGGTATATTTCTCTATAGAGATATAGTATATTTATATGTGTGTGGTATATTTCTCTATAGAGAGATAGTATATTTATATGTGTGTGGTATATTTCGTATCGCTATAGAGAGATAGTATATTTATATGTGTGTGGTATATTTCGTATCGCTATAGAGATAGTATATTTATATGTGTGTGGTATATTTCTCATAGAGATATAGAGATATAGTATATTTATATGTGTGTGGTATATTTCTCTATAGAGATGAGTATATTTATATGTGTGTGGTATATTTCGTATCGCTATAGAGATAGTATATTTATATGTGTGTGTATATTTCTCGCTATAGAGATAGTATATATATGTGTGGTATATTCTCTGTAGAGAGATAGTATATTTATATTTATTATTGGTATATTTCGCATCGCTATAGAGATAGTATATTTATATGTATATTTCTATGTATAGTATATATATTGTGTGGTATATGCTATAGAGATGTGGTATATTTCATCGCTATAGAGATAGTATATTTATATGTGTGTGGTATATTTCGCATCGCTATAGAGAGATAGTATATTTATATGTGTGTGGTATATTTCGCATCGCTATAGAGAGATAGTATATTTATATGTGTGTGGTATATTTCGTATCGCTATAGAGAGATAGTATATTTATATGTGTGTGGTATATTTCGCATCGCTATAGAGATAGTATATATTTATATGTGTGTGGTATATTTCATCGCTATAGAGATAGTATATTTATATATGTGTGTATAGGTATATTTCGTATATCGCTATAGAGAGAGATAGTATATTTATATGTGTGTGGTATATTTCGCATCGCTATAGAGATGATATATATTTATATGTGTGTGGTATATTTCGCATCGCTATAGAGATAGTATATTTATATGTGTGTGGTATATTTCGCATCGCTATAGAGATAGTATATTTATATGTGTGTGGTATATTTCGCATCGCTATAGAGAGATATATTTCATATGTGTATGTGTGTGGTATATTTCGTATCGCTATAGAGATAGTATATTTATATGTGTGTGGTATATTTCGCATCGCTATAGAGATAGTATATTTATATGTGTGTGGTATATTTCATATCGCTATAGAGAGATAGTATATTTCTATGTGTGTGGTATATTTCGCATAGCTATAGAGAGATAGTATATTTATATGTGTGTGGTATATTTCGCATCGCTATAGAGAGATAGTATATTTATATGTGTGTGGTATATTTCGCATCGCTATAGAGAGATAGTATATTTATATGTGTGTGGTATATTTCGCATCGCTATAGAGAGATAGTATATTTATATGTGTGTGGTATATTTCGTATCGCTATAGAGAGATAGTATATTTATATGTGTGTGGTATATTTCTCTATAGAGAGATAGTATATTTATATGTGTGTGGTAGTTGCTGTGGTCTTTGTCGCCGGTGACGACATCAGCAACATACTATTCTTGGCCAGACGCTGCTAGTGTCTGGGCTGATTGTGGCCGGCAGATCTGGCACGGCGCTCGATATTGTAATGAGCTGACTAAGGACAACTTGAGATGTATCCCCTTGTACGATAGTCCACTCAAACACTATGGAAGCAGTCCTCCTCAACTCCTAATGTACAGTCATTGTGATTCTTATTGTTGTAATGAAATACGCTTGACACATTTGCACTTAAATCCAACTTTGTATTTATTATGCATATAAATATATGTTCTTGATGCAATATGGCTGAAACAATGCCGATACTACGTTACGTTTACACACTCAGTATCAATGCTTTCCTTCAAGAGTAGCAGTAGGGTAGTAGTTTATCACAATATTCCTGTCAGTCAGAGGCCATATATACCCCTATGGACCCCATCAATTAGAGTCTAGTTAGAGGCCATATATACCCCCATGGCCCCCATCAATCAGAGTCTAGTCAGAGGCCATATATACCCCTATGGCCCCCATCAATTAGAGTCTAGTTAGAGGCCATATATACCCCCATGGCCCCCATCAATCAGAGTCAGTCAGGGCCAGTCTAGTCAGAGTCTAGTCAGAGGCCATATATACCCCATGGACCCCATCAATTAGAGTCTAGTCAGAGGCCATATATACCCCCATGGCCCCCATCAATTAGAGTCTAGTCAGAGGCCATATATACCCCCATGGCCCCCATCAATTCTAGTCAGAGTCTAGTCAGAGGCCATATATACCCCATGGTCCCCATCAATCAGAGTCTAGTCAGAGGCCATATATACCCCATGGACCCCATCAATTAGAGTCTAGTCAGAGGCCATATATACCCCATGGACCCCATCAATTAGAGTCTAGTCAGAGGCCATATATACCCCCATGGACCCCATCAATCAGAGTCTAGTCAGAGGCCATATATACCCCATGGACCCCATCAATTAGAGTCTAGTCAGAGGCCATATATACCCCCATGGACCCCATCAATTAGAGTCTAGTCAGAGGCCATATATACCCCCATGGACCCCATCAATTAGAGTCTAGTCAGAGGCCATATATACCCCCATGGACCCCATCAATCAGAGTCTAGTCAGAGGCCATATATACCCCATGGCCCCCATCAATTAGAGTCTAGTCAGAGGCCATATATACCCCCCATGGACCCCATCAATCAGAGTCTAGTCAGAGGCCATATATACCCCCATGGACCCCATCAATCAGAGTCTAGTCAGAGGCCATATATACCCCCATGGACCCCATCAATTAGAGTCTAGTCAGAGGCCATATATACCCCCATGGACCCCATCAATTAGAGTCTAGTCAGAGGCCATATATACCCCCATGGCCCCATCAATTAGAGTCTAGTCAGAGGCCATATATACCCCCATGGCCCCCATCAATTAGAGTCTAGTCAGAGGCCATATATACCCCATGGCCCCATCAATCAGAGTCTAGTCAGAGGCCATATATACCCCCATGGCCCCCATCAATTAGAGTCTAGTCAGAGGCCATATATATGGCCCCCATCAATCAGAGTCTAGTCAGAGGCCATATATACCCCCATGGACCCCATCAATTGGGAGTCTAGTCAGAGGCCATATATACCCCATGGACCCCATCAATTAGAGTCTAGTCAGAGGCCATATATACCCCCATGGACCCCATCAATTAGAGTCTAGTCAGAGGCCATATATACCCCCATGGACCCCATCAATTAGAGTCTAGTCAGAGGCCATATATACCCCCATGGCCCCCATCAATTAGAGTCTAGTCAGAGGCCATATATACCCCATGGCCCCATCAATTAGAGTCTAGTCAGAGGCCATATATACCCCCCATGGCCCCATCAATTAGAGTCTAGTCAGAGTCTAGTCTAGTCAGAGGCCATATATACCCCATGGCCCCATCAATTAGAGTCTAGTCAGAGGCCATATATACCCCCATGGACCCCATCAATTAGAGTCTAGTCAGAGGCCATAGGCCCCATATACCCCATGGACCCCATCATCAATTAGAGTCTAGTCAGAGGCCATATATACCCCATGGACCCCATCAATTAGAGTCTAGTCAGAGGCATATATATACCCCATGGACCCCATCAATTAGAGTCTAGTCAGAGGCCATATATACCCCATGGACCCCATCAATCAGGGAGTCTAGTCAGAGGCCATATATACCCCATGGATCCCATCAATTAGAGTCTAGTCAGAGGCCATATATACCCCATGGACCCCATCAATCAGAGTCTAGTCAGAGGCCATATATACCCCCATGGACCCCATCAATTAGAGTCTAGTCAGAGGCCATATATACCCCCATGGCCCCCATCAATTAGAGTCTAGTCAGAGGCCATATATACCCCCATGGACCCCATCAATTAGAGTCTAGTCAGAGGCCATATATACCCCCATGGACCCCATCAATCAGAGTCTAGTCAGAGGCCATATATACCCCATGGACCCCATCAATTAGAGTCTAGTCAGAGGCCATATATACCCCATGGACCCCATCAATTAGAGTCTAGTCAGAGGCCATATATACCCCCATGGACCCCATCAATCAGAGTCTAGTCAGAGGCCATATATACCCCATGGCCCCATCAATTAGAGTCTAGTCAGGGCCATATATACCCCATGGCCCCATCAATCAGAGTCTAGTCAGAGGCCATATATACCCCATGGACCCCATCAATTAGAGTCTAGTCAGAGGCCATATATACCCCATGGACCCCATCAATCAGGAGTCTAGTCAGAGGCCATATATACCCCCATGGACCCCATCAATTAGAGTCTAGTCAGAGGCCATATATACCCCATGGACCCCATCAATCAGAGTCTAGTCAGAGGCCATATATACCCCCATGGACCCCATCAATTAGAGTCTAGTCAGAGGCCATATATACCCCATGGCCCCCATCAATCAGGAGTCTAGTCAGAGGCCATATATACCCCCATGGCCCCATCAATCAGAGTCTAGTCAGAGGCCATATATACCCCATGGACCCCATCAATTAGAGTCTAGTCAGAGGCCATATATACCCCCATGGACCCCATCAATCAGAGTCTAGTCAGAGGCCATATATACCCCATGGACCCCATCAATTAGAGTCTAGTCAGAGGCCATATATACCCCATGGACCCCATCAATCAGAGTCTAGTCAGAGGCCATATATACCCCATGGACCCCATCAATTAGAGTCTAGTCAGAGGCCATATATACCCCATGGA